CCTCACTGGAGCCTCACAGAGCTTCAGTGGGTCTCAGCGGGGCCTCACCGGGGCCTCACCGGGGCCTCAGCAGAACCTCGCGGAGCCTCACCGGGGCCTCACCGGGACCTCAAGGAGCCTCACCAGGGCCTCACCGGGGCCTCAGCGGAGCCTCAAGGGGCCTCACCGGGGCCTCACGGAGCCTCACTGGAGCTTCACTGGAGCCTCATGGGGCCTCACCGGGGCCTCACCGGGGCCTCAGCAGAGCCTCGCGGAGCCTCACCGGGGCCTCACCGGGACCTCAAGGAGCCTCACCGGGGCCTCACCGGGGCCTCACCGGAGCCTCAAGGGGCCTCACCGGGGCCTCACGGAGCCTCACTGGAGCTTCACTGGAGCCTGACCAGAGCCTCACTGGGGCCTCACTGGGTCCTCACCGGAGCCTCACCGGGGCCTCATGGGGCCTCACCGGGGCCTCGCGGAGCCTCACGGGGCACACTGTGCCACCGCCTCAGCCAGTCCTGGGCCCCGGGCCTCAGGGCGCCCGCCGTGTGGCAGGAGCTGTGCTGGGCCCCGCGGCCCCCCGAGGCAGTGACCTGGGCTTGTGCTCGCAGCCCCCCCCCCACCCCCGGCGGGCTCCGGGCGCCCTGCCTTGGTGCTGAGCCCGCCGGCCCGTGTGTCCCGCTGCACCCGCCTCCTCCGCTGGGCCAGACTGAGCCAGGACTTCCGCCTCGGCGCCCCCGGGGCCGGGCCCAATGCCAGCTGTAGGGCCTGCGGCTGCGGGGCAGTGGGGACAGCGGGGATGGTGGGGCGGCTGCCGCAGGCCGTGTAAGAGCGGCCTCCTTCCCTGCAGGCGGCAGGGCGCTGGGACCCCGTCCTTGGGCAGTACCCCGGGCGCCCCCGGCCCTGCGCCTGCGGGTACCCGACCGCGCCTCTGCGTCGTGGAGGCGCCGGTTCCCTTCTGATCGGATATAAAGCTGCCGACCCGCAGACCCCGCTGCTACTTTCCTCAGGTATGGTCGCCCTTTTTTTTCTCCCTGAAACGGAGCCACCCGTTTGATCCTGAAAATCACTCAAAATTTACAGAAGCGCAGTTTTCTTGGTTTTCTGTCCTTGATTACCGACCTTAGGTTTTTCCGAAGGTAACAGTGATACATTTTCAGGCATCTTGACCACAGTAATCTGAAGTAGAGCCCGGTTTGCTGGTTCGCGGTAGCCCTGCGTTCGGTGACATCTTAATCAATTCACTGTTTTGGAAAGAATAATGGACGTGCATTGCTTGAAATTCGAGCCACACCAGAGGGCATGGGGGGAGGAGGAAAGCGGCCTTGCCCTCCTGGCTGCATTTCCAGGCAGAGCACAGCCACCGCGCAGGTGGCAGGTGTGCACAGGTGGCAGGTGTGCACACGTGCCACACGTCCTGTGCTCGCCGCTCTCAGCTTGTCATCGCACGACGTCTCTTGCTCTGTAGCAGCCGCTGTAGAAGGACTTTCTTGTGGTTGCCTCCAACTCCATTACAAGTAAATACATTCGGTAAATTATTTAATCAGTTCCTTTTGGTGGACATCTATTTAGCTGGTTTCCATTCTTCTGCTAAATACAGATAAGGCCACAGCGGAGCACCCTGTGCATACGTGATTTTATTATGTAAACGAGGGTCAGCCGGCGGGCTAAGTCCTCCTTTGGGAATTGCTGAGTCGCTGGGTGTGTGTCCTGATGAAGTTAACATGTTGCCACACTGCCCTCCCCGGAGGTGGTTTCAATTTAAGCTGCCCTGGCATCGGGGCAGATGACCTGTTTGGATTTTTCCTCATACCTGCTCCCCAGTCACTGAACTTTTACCTTTGTGGTGGGGACGTGCCGCGTGGTCCCCCGGGGGTGTTCTGATTTGTCTGTCTCTTTCCACCAGCGACACCGAGCATCTTTTCACTTGCCTGAGAGCCGCTGCATTTGTTTTTCTTTGTCTATTTGTTGTTCTTGATGTTAATCGATTTTGCGGGGAGCCCCGCATACTAGGACGGCAGCTAACTCTGCCTTGATCTAAGTTCCACGGTTATCACTTGTCCTTTATGGATTTCTGTGTCATGCGGACTGACCAGTTTTTGTCCTTTATGATTGCTGGGTTGTGTCATATTGTAGAAGGGCCTTCTCCACTCTGAGGTGGTTGTGTTTTGTTTTTGCTTTTTAACACATGGTTTTTGTTTTTTGGGGATTTTTTGTTCTGCTTTGTTTCGTTTTACTTTTCTTTTTTAAGTGGTCCAGAGTCTGTCTTGGTATAATGTCAGGGTTACGGAATCGACCTTCTTTCCCGGACAACAGTGACTTGTTTAGGCTTTGCTTTTATTCTATTTGTGACTTACAAATGTGTGTCTTTCGGACTCTCGTATACCTTCCCTGTACATCTAACACGAGTCCGATAGATTTAGGACCACATCATTTTTTTAGGAGCAGCTTGGTGTAGGGGAAAGATCATCCTCTTCAGAGTCGAACAGACCTGGTTCCTGATGTGAACTCTGCAACTTCTTCAGTATGTAGGCTTGGGCAAATTAAAATTACATAACCTGTCTGAGCCCCTGTTACCTCATTTGTAAAATATGGTTGATAGTAAGCCATTTCACAAATTGGTTGTGATAATTAGAGATAATGTGTAGAAACTGCCTATTCAGGGGCACCTGGGTGGCTCAGTCGGTTGAGCGTCTGCCTTTGGCTCAGTTCATGGTCTTGGGGTCCTGGGATCAAGTCCAGCATGGAGCTCCCTGCTGGGTGGGGCCCCCACCCCTTCTTTCTGTCTCTTTCTCAAACAAATAAATAAAATCTTTTTAAAAATTAAAAAAAAAAAACTGCCTGTTGAGTGCCTGGCACACAGTGAATACTTGATAACAGGAGCCATTATTACATCATTGTTGTTACCAATATCAGTAATGTGGTGTTGGTCTGAATGAGGACACTGTGCCCCCGCCCCAGTCCCTGTGTGAGCCATTCTTCAGTAAAATCTCGTCCTGGAAGCTAGACAGACCTAGGGCTTCCCTGCCTAAGCCAAAGACCATTGCACGTACCCAGTAACGAAGGGCTAGCATTTTAGGGCCATGCTCATACCTTCTGGGCAGATGTTAAATTGTTGGGGGTGTACATTAAGATAAGTCCGCACTTTGCTGCAGGAGGAAGTCTGCCTGGTTGCACAGTTTGGTTTTATAAGCAGATCTGTGAAGTTAACAGTTAAGCATTTTGTCCAGCATTAGTGTTAGTGCTGTTTGGCCAGATGATGATTTAAGAAAGGGGATCTCTGTGACCTCCTACCACAGAACTTTATGTGCAGTCCTCTCACAAATCTGGAAAGTAAATTGGTGCGAAAACTCAGCCCGAACAGAAGTTGATATCTAAGTTAACTTCTCTTTTTTAAGTCCAATAGCCCAGGACCTAGTCTTTAATTAGGTGAATTGATCATAGTTTCCCTCCACACTTCTTCCTGTACTCTGGGTACTTGAGTTTTATATGTATATATGGACTTGATTTCCCTGTAGGGTTTTTTTGTTTTGTTTTGTTTTTTGACCTCCTTCTTTTCCTTCACTGATGTTTAATCTTAATTTAATATTTGTCTCTTGAAAGCTGCAGTCCTTTCACAGATAAACTCAACTTTCAAAAACCACTTTTGGGTTTATTGCTACTAGTCTCATTATGTCTGAACATCTCCTTCCGTTCTGTTCTTCTGTTTCCTGTCTACTCATCCTGCACCTTTTTAAACTGAGATGCTGGACTTCCCCTCTCTCAAGCTCCTTAATATCAATTCAGAAAATCTTAGTGTCTTAGATTTCTGTTTCCCCTCTTTTGTTTGCTCCTCTTGAGCCCCAAAAGTATGTGGCTAAACTTTACTTTTACTTATTTTTTTTAACATAAACTGTCAGAACCTAATTATTCTCTGCCATCAATTATTTTTTCCTGCCATCAATGTTAAGAAAAGTTCCATTTGGGAAATTTTACTTGGTTTTATACGATAGATTTTCTTCCTAACCAGTAATCAGTCCACAGATAATCTATTGAGGGCTTATCGTGTGCCAGCCTTTGAGGATGCAATGAGTGAATAATTCCCTGCCTTCAGGAGTTTACTTTCTGTTTTGTTGGGGGGGGGGCACAAAAAAAGGAGAGAGAAAGAGAGAGAGAGAGAATCCTAAGCAAGCCCCATGCCCAGCATGGAACCCGATGTGGGGCTGGATCCCAGGACCCTGAGATCATGACTGGAGCTGAAATCAAGAGTTGGACACTTACTCGACTGAGCCACCCAGGTGCCCCAGGAGTTCCCTTTCTATACTGAAGACAGACAGCATATCAACCAAGGGATGGAATCTTTTAGTTACCTGGGTTATGGAGGAGATAAATGCAGCAGTAGATGAGAAGTGGCCAGGCTCAGAGGGAGGAAACTCATCCCTTTTCTTTACGGTTCTTTTGCTTCTTGTCTGACTGTAAATCTTGTATTCCATTTTCATGATTTTTCTTTTAATACTGTTTTCTGGTACTTTCTTATTATTCAGTGCTTCACCCTTTCATTCATCCCTTAGATGGCCAACTGCTCGTTTTTGAGAATTGATATATAATCTCATTGCCTTATGTTCTTCTTCCTTATAATCTTATGCTTTCTTTATGAGTTCTCAAAGATTTCTTGGCCACAGTGTATATCGTAAAGGTCATCGTTAGTGCTTCTTGAAATCAAAAAGCATTTCTCCAAAATAAAGCTTACCTTTTGACATTCTGGGCATTTTTGTTTTTTTAAAGGACGGTGCTTCTCTGATGTTTGTCTCAGTGGAATGTGTGTCGGCATGTGAGGTTGCCAGCTGCATTTCTTGTAAGAACTGGACCACTATGAGACTGGGTTATTTTAGGAAATGATAGTGAAGAGTAAGTAGCATGTGTAGAGACTTTGCTCAGCAAAATGAGCAGTCACTACTTTTCAGAAAATGGAATCTTATGCCTTCGGAGTTGACTGTTTAGGTCCGAAAATGAGTACTCAGTGTTTTCTTTTCTGTTTTCAGGGATGACTCTGTCCCAGAGGACAACATCTGGAGGGGCATCCTCTCTGTCGTGTTCTTCTTCCTTATCATCAGCGTGTTGGCCTTTCCCAATGGTAAGTGGTGTCACATTGGATCACATCTCCCCTGTGCGTTGTGCCCTTTTGGTGTTCTGGGAGGTACATGCCATCTAGAAGATGAAACCAGAAAGTGAGAGTAAGAGAAATGAATCTGTGGTGGTTAGGGCACAGGTGCCCGATCTGCCACGTGCTTGTGATCTTCCCGCCCTGGGAAGTGCCCCAGCTGCTTCACAGGTGCTTGAGTCTCTCGCTTTTGCAAACAAGGGATTGGCAGGTAGGTGCAATTGAAAGAGTTTACTAAAGTAGTACGTGTTAACATCTCTGAATAGTGACTGACAAATTGTAAGCTCTCTGAGTGTCAGCTGTTGTTCTTGTTGCTATTTTTGCTCTATCAGCTGAGTCATAAAATACTCAATTATTTGCTTCGTACTTCTTGCTAAGGACAGGGTCACTGCAATATGATTATTACTGAAATAATGTGTTGTCCCAGGTGATCTTTAATCACAGTAAACTTTGCTGATCATGCATTTGGGATATGTATTTTCATCATCAGGTGAAAAAAACCATTATTACTGTGAATTTTATTATCCCCATCATGATTATGGAGTGAGGAAAAGTCTTTAAAAAGGGGGCGGGGCGTCGCCTGGTGGCTCTGTGGTGAGCATCTTCCTTTGGCTCAGGGGACGATCCTGGGATCCCGGGATCGAGTCCCGCATCAGGCTCCTGCTTCTCCCTCTGCCTGTGTTTCTGCCTCTCTCTGTGTCTCTCATGAATAAATAAAATCTTCAAAAAAATGAGAAGCCCATTGTGAATGCTACTCATTGCTGTTTGGAAATCTACCATGGTAATAGAGTTCTAATCCTAATTCCGATGTGTATGTGTTCAGGAGAGGAAGCAGCAGGGAAGGGGGTGTTCCTCCACTAAGGAGCAATTTTTGGACACTAGCTGGTTACCCTACAGTTGAACTGGATTCTGACACCATCTACCCAGAGTTAGAGTCCCTCCCACAGGGGAAGGGCTCAGCCCCACAGGACTGCCTCCCCTTCCAATGCCAACTGCGAGTCCAGGGTTTCACCTTTGCTTCCGACCAAATAATTCTAAGTCAGACGTTCCCATGACCCCACCTTGGGTCCGATTAACTTGCCAGAGTGGCTCGCAGGATGCAGGAAGTGAGGTTGCTCGTTAGATTGCAGTACCTGTTTATTACAAAGAATATCCACCAACAGCCAGATGAAGAGATGCGTAGGATATGGTACGTGGGAGGGGACTAGGAGCTTCCATGCCCTCTCCAGGTGGGCCACTCTTTTGGCATCAGATAAATGTCCACCAACGTAGAAGCTGCATGAACCCCATCCTTTTGGAGTTTTTTTTTTTGGAGGCCTCACCTACAGAGGCATGGGAACCAGTGGCCACTGGGAATTGCAGTCAGCCTCCAGCCTCTCACCCTTCCCTGGAGGTCTTGGGTACAGGACTGCGAGTTCTCACCCTCTAATCACATGTTTGGCTCCACTGGCAATTGGCCCTGTTCTTGGGCACTTTCCTAAGGCCTCATTAACATAGCAAAAAGTATTCATCATCCTTATCACTTGGAGTTCCTAGGGCTCGAGGAGCTCTGTGCCAGAAAAGGGCACAAAGACCAAATACATATTTCTTATTATAAATCACAGTGTCACACACATGCCAAGGTGTCTTTCCAAGATGGTGGCAATGCCATCATGTTCTGTAGTTTTGCTTCGTCGTGTGTCGCACTGTGTGGTTTTGCTGGTGGCGTAATGATCCAGCCCGTGGAGCCATGACTGAATCCTGCGGAGGATGAACCATCTCAGGTAACCGTGTCATTTGACAGCTGAGTTTAACTCCCCTCCGCTCTGCCCCTTAGCCGTTCCTGTGAGTCTGCTGCTTACTCCGAGGTCATCAGACAGGACCATGGCCATTATTGCTCTGTGCACTTTCTTCTTATTTCTTACCTAGTCTGTCCCTGTCCTACTACCTTTTGTTTTAAACAAGTCGGCACATGGTAGGTGCTGAGGGAACTGGTCAGTCCAGAGGTGCCAAGTCTGTTCTTCAAGCCTTCAGCTTCTCTGTGTTCATTGTCACTTAGTTCTTGAAGGTCACTTCTTCGCGGCTTGAAGGCGTCTTTCCTGCCTTTGTCTTTTTCTTTTTTAGAATTGCTTTTTCTGAGTCCAGGGCCATTTTGGAAGTCTGAGCATCCTCAAAGATCGATGTCCCGAGAGCCATGATTTTACAGCCATCCCTTCCATGAGGTGTTAGCAGGAGCTGGGTCAGGGGCTTCATTGCGAGGGCTTTTCTGTAGGTAGCAAGGGCCGGGGAGGCCGGGGGATGAGGGCCGCTTGACGTCAGCCTAGTGGTGGCGGTAGGGCCTGGCTCCAGCATCTTCCTTTTAGTTGGTCTTACTCTGGTTCTTTCTCTTAATAGGTCCCTGGTGATGTGTTTTTATCTCCATCTTCCCATGTTTCCCTCTCCCTTTACTCCTGTTCTCTCTACCAGGGTCTGGCTTTTCTTTTTTCTCCGGGAATACGGCCCTAGGGTCTTAGTTGGTCTGTACCCCGTGGCTTTGGATCCTGCGGAAGTTGGCTGCTGGTTGTGCCCAGGTGTCCTCTGTGACCAGAGGGGCTAGCAGACTGCCCGGAGCCGGCCTCCTCTCTCTCTTACCTCGTCTGTTCCCTCCACATCCTCCCCCCACCATCTCCGTGTGTGTGTGTGTGTGTGTGTGTGTGTGTGTGTGTGTGCACGCACACCACTCCTCTGGGCAGAACGTGCCACAGGGAAGGTTTTTAGGTGGATCCAGGAAAGGAAGATTCTAGGTAGAGAAAGATAGGACATAGGCAGCACATATTCAGATTCTCTGGGGCCATGTGTGTACAGCGGACATGATGTGTGTGCTAAAGGTCCACCTGTCCACACGTTACCTTTGATTAGTAAAACTACGTTTTCCACATTAAAGATCGTTCCCATTGAATATTTAAAAGTTGGAAGGCTTTAGAAGGTGCCAGTGTTGGTGGCGGGGGAGCTGGCCAGGCGGCTGGGAGGGGTGCTCTCAGGCTCGGTGGCTGTCCTCTCGGGCCTTCCCCAGGGCCCCGGTGCTGGGTGGCTGCTTCTCTGAGCAGAACATAGGAGCCTCTTCTTGCTCCGGTCTTGTCACCTTATTTTCTGTCCTCCCACCCTTGGCACGAGTTCTCAAGTTAAGCAATGAAAATTAATGGGAAAGCTGGAGCCCAACAGCAGCTGCCTCCCCGAAAGGCAGTTTTGGGGGCGTGCCTGGGCAGCGGCGTTGCCTGGGCGGCTGTGTTCTGGTGACTGAGAACAGGTTCGTCCCTGACCCAGCAAGGTCTGCCCTGCACCTTCGAGTGGAGGCCTCAACCTGATGGCGTCCATGGTCCCGCATGCGTGAGCTCCTCCGCGCTGTCTGTGCAGGAGCATCAGTCAGCTCCCTTGGGACGGGGCCCTGGGATGTTTGTGGCGTCCAAGTAACCCAGGAAGCCCTGGACTGGCTCGCGAGGCTCTTGTAACCGTCAGGATGCTTCTGGCCCCTGAAGAGAACACCTGCTTCAAAACGGCCTGAAGAATAAAGGGAACGTCTGCTTTCCTGCGTTTCAGGAGGTTCCGAGGCTGACGGTGCCCGGGCTGGCTCATTCAGCCACTTGGTGGCCGTGGAGACCAGGCTCCCTGCTCCTCTGCTGCGCCGTCAGCCTGCCTGTGCCATGCCCTGCTGTCTTGTTGGTCCCATGGGGGCTGCCGGGCCCAAGGTCACGGGCAGCATCCCGAGGGAGAGGGTGCCGCCCGCATGCCTTTGCAAGGCTGAAGAAGCCCTTTCTAGAGCCCCTCTGGCAGTTGTCGTCACTTCTCCTTGACTAGAGTTGGGCCCTGAACCTCTGCTTCCTGCACCCCCGAGGCCGGGAGTTTACCAGGGCCTGGAGGGGTGGGCTCGTGATGGGTCGTCACGGACCACAGGGACAAGACAGACCGAGGATTGCTTCGGTTGGCCCACATTTTACCCCTGAGTTACCTGGGGCAGGAGTGGACACTCAGGGTGGGTGAGGGGTAGGTTCTAGAATCCCTTCCCTCTGGCCCGTGAACGGGAGACCCTGAGGGGAGGCCGGGGAAGGCGGATCTCATGTCTACATCACGCTTCCTCTTTCCTGCCCTCTTTCCTCTCAGTTCCCTTAAAAATCGAAGTGCTGCCTGCGTCTCATGATAGCAACTGGCCGTGGAGCGGAGCACGACTAACCGTGGCCACCATGTCCTCAGCGCATGATTGTAGCTGTCGCTCCATCACCGCAGGGCAATTGGGAAACCTGTTTGGCCGGGAGGTTTCTTTCAGTAGGTGGCTCAGGGCTTCGGGGCTCCCCGGCCTTCCCTGCACCCCCAGGGCCTGGCCCACGGGGATTGAGTCCCGAGGCTGCTGGGAAGACAGGTCACAGAATCTCCCCCTTCCCAATCCTCCTCTGCGAGAGGAACGCCTTCTGTCAGGGTCTCTGCCTTTCTGTGTGTCTTTCATGAATCGATAAATAAAATCTTAAATAAAAAAAAAAAAAACAGTATTTTGAGGAGAGTGGAATACTAGCGTTTCTTGATTTTCCTGAGTTTATCCTTTGGTTTGTCCTTTGGCCTCATGTGACTTCTCTGAGCTAAGATGCTCTTAATTGCATCTCCCTGAGGTTTGAAGGTGACCCAGAAGCTTCACCGGCCCCTGAATTTGAAACAAAAATCCTGTCCCCCCCACCCCACCCCCCCACCCCCGTTCTGCTTCCTGCTCCACCACTTTTTCTTAAAAAAAAAAAAAAAAAAAAAAATTCTTCCTTAATTTTGAAATTCTCTTAAAGGTAATCTTATACACCTCTTCTTAGTTTCTCCTAGAGGAATTCAAACTTCCAGATAATAATCTTTGTCGCTCACGCCTCATTCAAGCAGAGAACCAGCGGTAACAGGGAAGGAGCAGACGCAGGGAGCACAGGCCTGTAGCTCTAGGGAGGCACCCAGTCCCCGGTTACTCCTGGGAGTAGCAGCAGGCTGCTGGCCAGGCAGCTGTGCTGCGATCGTCTTTTCAGTATTTTCCTCACCCTTCTCTTGTGGGTGTGATCCCATTCTCTAATTGCTGAGGCCACCTTTGAGGCCTCGCTTCTCCTAGCAAAGTCGTCTGATTTCCGTTTCTCTTGAAATCAAACTCCATCTCAGTGTGTGGTTGAGACCCCTGTTCTAGATGGAGGGACTGGGAAGAGCCAGGCTGGGCCAGTGCGAGTGTGTCCCCAGAGACAGCCCTGCTGCCCGACGTGGCACCGGGCGGACAACCTGGGGCCGAGCGTGGACTGGCCCACGGGAGACAGTGGGCTGCGGGTGTCCATGCCAGGCTCCGGGATGGCACTGCCGCAGAGGCGAGCCGGTGCGCGAGTCGGGGCTGACAACTGGCGATGCCACTGCCCTGACCTCCGCTTTGGGAAGCGCTGACCGCCGCATTCAGCAGCACCACCGCCTCTGCTGGCTGGTTGGTCGCGGTCGTAGCGCCGGCAGCACCCGCTCCCTCGGGCTCCTTGGAACACGGGGGCCTCTCCTGGGGAGCAGGTGGGCACACCGGTGCCTGAAGCGGAGCCGTACCCCACGGCGCGGGGGCCCCCAGTGACACCCTCTGTGCACTGCCGTGGCCCAGACCCAGCGCAGCAGCTGCCCGAGTCCTCCCGTCCACGGGACGTTCTGGCGTGTGAGCTGAACGGCCGCTTGTAAAGACCCTATGCCTTCGGGAATGTGATGCGACGCTGCGCCGCGTGAGTGGGGAATCTGGACACGAAAGGGAAAGACTTGATGGGGAGAAGTCAGGGCGGGGCTTAGCCAACTGCAGGAAGGTGAAGATCCTCATGCAGCTTTGGGAACAACACATGCCCGTCGCAGGAGTCTGGGCCGGCGGAGAGAGATACCCAAGGCCCCAGCAGCTGGGTCAGGGTAGGGAAGGGCCGCGGGCCCGTACCCCCACGTCCCTGCACCACTGACCCTCGGATGTGTGCTGCACACACTGCACGGGGTGACGAGGCGGCCATGGGGGCACCCAGGAGCTCAGCGGTGGAGCGTGAGTCCACAGGGTCCCTGCTCGGGGTGGGGGTCCTGCACCTCCCCCTCCCTGTCCCTGCCGCTCACCCTGCTTGTGCATGTGTGCGCGCTCTCTCTAATAAATAAAATCTTAGAGAGAGCAGAGTTGTGTTTTCAAAAGGCTGCTCTTGGAGCGCCTGGGCGAGGCCCCGGCGGCTCTGATGTAAGGACCCCACAGCAGCCCCCGCCCTGTCCCTTCTTGTCGCCACTGGTTCCACATGGCAGCACGTCTCCCCGCCACCCGCTGGCCCAGAGGCTGCCCGGCCTGGCCGCCTTGATGAGGATGCGGGGAAGCGCTGCGGGTTGGGCGGCGGCCTGCGGGCCGTGGGGCTGCGTGCACTGAGCCTGGGCGTCCTCGGGCGGCTGGCCGCTGCATCCTCGCAGCACCCTCGCAGCACCCGCCGGCTTGACAACCAGGAGGCGTGGCGCGAAGCCTTCCCCGCCCAGTGGCCACCCAGTCCCAGCGCCGTCCGTGGCTGCAGGGTCGCTCTCCGCCATGCCCATCCTCGGGCCTGGGGAGTGTGGACCGGGCAGGACTCTGCTTCCAGCCAAGTGGCCCTGCACTAGGCAGTGTCGACACGCAAGAAGCCACAGGGAAGCCGGGCCCACGTGATGCCCCGAGGCCGGGGCTGTGGTTTGGGTGAAGCAGCTCGTAAGGCAGCAGCCGCCCGGCTCCAGAAGTGCCCCCCGGTGAGCGCCCGGCCGTGGGGACAGCGCTTGGAAGAGGACGTCAGGAGGTGACCGGGTCAGCCCTCTGCTTCCCTGGGACCTGTTGTCACATGGAAGGGGGCCTGGTTCCTGTGCGTGGCTGCGCCTTCTGGGGAGAACCGCAGCTGCCGGAAAGGATGCGATATTCCTCGGTGTCTGAGCCTTCGGCAGCGGCACTCAGAAGGCCTGGAGCTCCGCGGGCCTCTCACCACCTCCGTCGAGCCGAGCTCTCACCACCTGCCGTCCCGAAGCTCATGCCCTCCCGACTTGCGTAAGCCAAGGCCCCTGGTCCTCACCTACCGTCTGGACTGCCCCGGTCCAGGCTGAGGAACGGGCTGCACGTTGGTGGCAGGGACGCTTGCAGCCGGTTTTTCTAACGCGAACCTGATCCCTCAAGAGAAAGCCGTTAAAATGTTTCAGCGTCATCTTTTTTAAGATGAGGTGGGTGATCAAGGAGGTGTTCCAGAATAAAAATTATGATGTGATACTTCCCTCGGATGGGATTCCGGGTTGCCAGCAATGGAAACTGCTGAGTCAAAGGACCTCTGGGGGGGCGCCTCGGGGGCTCAGCGGAGGAGCGGCTGCCCTCGGCCCAGCTCGTGACCCTGGGGTCCTAGGATTGAGTCCCGTGTCGGGCTCCCTGCAGGGAGCCTGCTTCTCCCACTGCCGGAGTCTCTGCCTCTCTCTCTGTGTGTCTCATGGATAAATAAATAAAATCTTAAAAATTAAAAAGCAAAACAAAAAGACTAACTGGATGTTGGCTGCAGGCCTCCTGGGAAGGCTGGAAGGCTGGGTCCCAGGCTGAGCTGGGGACTGGCTGGTCACCCAGAACTGACCAAGGAGGAGAGCACACCGAGCGCCGAGTGGCCCGTCCCCATCAGCAAGCTCCCTCGGCCCCACTGTGCACGCTGGCTGCTGGCGCAGGTGGAGGGAGAGGCTGAGGATGGCACACCTGGCTTGGTCTCACCAGCCTGAGCCCCCGTGTGGTGCGGGGTAGCTGGAGGACACAGCCCGGTGGTGCGGGGGGCCAGGCCACCCCCCTGCTGAAGACCCTTTGGGGCATGCGGGCAGGCTGTCCCAGGGGCGCACAGCCCCAAGACGATCCCGCGCCACCAGAGCAGGGCTCCGTATTTGTGACCTGTACCCCTTCCGTTGATGACGGTAGGTCCGCTGGGTCCGTTGAGGCCCGGCGGGCGTCCACTTGTTTTTAAGTAGATAAAGCAGGAGGGGAAGTGCTGCGCGGCCCTGTGGGCAGAGGGAGTCCGTCCAGCGAAGCCCATGTGCGCCCCTGCTGAGGCCGCATCTGCCTCCCACCTGCTCACAGGTGTCTTGTCACCGCAGTCCCCTCTGGGGCCGGGTGCTCAAGCTCCAGCTGCACGGGTTTGTTCCTGAGTCCTGTCCCCCATGATGTCCAGGCACCACCCGTCCTGTTGCACGCCCACGGGGGCGGCCCAGGGGATGTCACCTGCTAAGCTGACGCGTGTCTGCCCTCTTACGGGCCGTGGCCTGCGAACCTCGCTGCCCTGATCCCGTCTCCAGGGGAAATTAGGTCCTGAGTTCAGAGACAAAGCTCTAAAAACAAACTGCCGTTGTGGTGACGGGTGCTACAGTGAGAATTAAACATTTCAACCTAGACTTTGACCTCAAAATATTTATGTAGAAAAAAATCTTTGACAGCGGAAACCTGTTTAGTTTAGTTTTGTTTTAAATCTCCATAGAGGTCAGCACTTTGGTTTTAGTTTGTGTTTGAAAGCAGTTTCCTCTAACCTTGCGTTTTCTGTCTGCAGGCCCATTTACTCGACCCCATCCGGCCTTATGGAGAATGGTTTTCGGTGAGTTACCCGTCAGTAGATTTGGAATGTGTCCTACTCAAGTCTGTTTTCTGTATGTCATCGTAGCAATTTGACGTGCTGCTCGGCAGTAAAACTTCACAGCGTTTAGCTCTTTGGTGTTCCTCGTATACATCTTTGTGGAAATTCCTCGGGGCCACACAGACACACCGGTGGTGACCTTAGATTCCCACATGTGGCCGCCACCGTACCTCTGCTCGCCCCCCACCTGCGCTGTTGTCTCTTAGCGTGCACGGCTCTGACTTCGGGAACGTGGCTTGTTTTTCTCCCTACATGTTCATGTGGCTCCTCCCTCACGGGTCCTGTGAGCACGTCTGCCTTGTCGGCATCCAGAAGGGACTGGAGACCCCACAGTCTCCGGAGCTGGAAGCGCCTGGGAAGGAAGCAGTCCTTAGACAGCCCTGATTTGAATTAAGGCTTGGTGCTCAGCATCTCTAGAAATACTGGATTTCTAGTCCATCAGTCATCAAATCCCCTGAATGGACCTCAAACACATCTTTCAGATGTTGGCTCTTGGCTCTGTCTTGCCTATGTAAGACATCAGATAAATTATTTTAGGGTGAGAACACGTAATGTCATGAAAAGGACCCTAAAAATGGATATTTTCCCTCACAATCACCTTTCTTCTTTCAACCTTCAGAGGTGGTCAGTGAATCTCTGAATGGAGTGGCCTCAACCCTTCAGCAGGTGTTTGCTGAACGCCTCCTTGTGGCAGGGCTGCTGCGGCCCTGAGGCTGCCGGAGAGGGAGGCAGGACAGCTGTCCCAGACAAACTATTAAATCAGGAATCAAAAAACATCATATGCTGCCAGGAGTTAGGTTAATTAAAACCATGTGGGGTGACAGTGACCGAGTGGCTGTTATGACTTGCAGGTGCAAGGAAGGATGCGTGCTGGAAACGTGCACGCACAGTGGGATCCAGCAAGGACTGGGGTCACTGGAAGCTAGGAAGGGCAAGGCTGCCAGAGTGGCCCCCTCCAGCAGGAGTGTGGTGTGTGGCAGGCCGGGCCGGCGGGGCAGAGAAGGCCCTGGGGGAGTAGTAGGAGGGGGCCAGGGTTGGCCTGGGTGGGATCCCAGGGCTTGTGGCCGGGAAGAGTCAGATGGGAAGGGTGGTGGGGAGTCCAGGACAACTTCCTGCAGAGGACGGATGCGATTCACGGCCATTTTCAACTAGATTGTCCTGGTGGCATCATACGTAGGTCTCACGGACGCGGTAGTGCTGTGTGGACAGATGAGGCGTGCTCAGCCGCGTGGCCAGACCTGAGCTTGTCCTATTGCAGATGACCCATTGTGGGTGATTAGCTACTTATTTCTTCCCTGAGGTCTTTTTGGGGTCATGGAGCCCTTTGATAATCTCATGAGAGCTCACCCTTTCTCAGCACACACGCACACACGTGCATGCACACACGCATACCCTCAAGTGTGTGCATGTGTGTACACATAGATGCACACACAAGTGCATGCACATGCACACACGTACATACACACAAGTGCACGCACGAGCATACACATGCCACGTGTGCACACAATGCACACACATACGTGCACACACATGCACACACATATGCACGTGTGCACACATACGTCCATAAACGTGCACACATACACACATGTGCACATGCGCACACACATGCACACACACGTGCATGTTACATCTGGGGCTCCATGAACTTTGCAGCTCAACCGTGAATTCCAGTTTGAGAAGCTCTGCTCCATCCACACAGATGTTTTTTTTTTTTTTTTGTCTTAAAATAATTATTTTGAAAGGATTTCAGTAAAATGTAGTGGGAGGCACATGAGATGAAAACCTGTAAAGCAGCTGGTAAGAAGGCCAAGGAGGTCCGCGCACGGCAGGCCAGCCCTGCTGCGCGCCCGTGCCCTAAACTCCCGAGGCCGGGCAGAGGTCCCATGGCAGGGCCTGGCGCTGCACACGGTCCAGGGCGCTCGCCCCAGCCGCGGACGTTGTCTCCTCTGGAGCAGCTCGCGGGAGCGGAGGCTGAGCCAAGTTCACACGGAATGCTGTGATCCAAGGTCATTCGTATCTCAGTGTCTGGGTGCCCTGCACACAGGTTTTAATTCCAGCAGGTTCTGGAGAAAAAGACATGATAAGCCACTGGCGTTGGGTTTCCACGTCCTCTAAGAGGCTTTTGTTGTTTAAAGAGCAGATTATTAAGTTTATTTTTCAATGACGTGCTGTGAGTATTAGGACACCAGTTATGAGGTGACAGGGACGTGATGCCCATGAGGGTGGACGTGGGGCGTAGGGTGTAGGTGTGTGGCCCTGGGCCACCTCCGGGCGCCCCTGCCTGGGCTGTCCACACCTGACTCCATCCACTGTCCACACAGCAGCCAGCGTCTGCTTCGTACAGTGTTGCCCGGGTCATCTTCCTTCTCCCATTCAAGCCTGTCCTGGGCTCCTTCCTCACACATGGTAGAACCTGGAATCTCTGCCACAGCCCCCGAGCCTCATCATAGCAGTGCCGCCTGGCTCCCTTCCCTTTGGTGCTGGTACCTCTTGGCCTTACCACCGCCCCCCATGGCCTTACCCACCCCCCGGCCTTAACTGTCCCCTCCCTGTGGCCTTACCTTCCCTGACCTTACCCTCCTTGTGGCCTTACCCTCCTGTGGCCTTACCCATCCCCCCCGGCCCTCCCCCGCACCGTGGCCTTACCTCCCCCCACCGCCTTACCCTCCCCCTGGCCTTACCCCACCCCCAGCCTTACCCCCCCCATGGCCCTGGGCTTACCCGGAGGCCATTTCTCTACCTACATGCCACCTGTCCTTGGAGACCCAACCTGAGTGTCCCTTCCTCAGAGAGTTGCCAGCCCTCTGGGTGTAAACCAGGACGGCCTACCTGCCTTGCTCCTCGGAGGGCGTGCCGGTTGTCACGAAGACCCCGACCCGCTGCATTGCAGTGTCTGTGTCTGCCTGGCCCTGAGAACTTGGTCTGCGGCGTGCCGCGCATCTGGCCCAGAGCTGCCCGAAACGTGAGAATGTTCTTGTTTCCCTCAGGACTCAGTGTGCTCTACTTCCTGTTCCTGGTATTTCTCCTCTTCCTCAACTTCGACCAGGTTAAGTCCCTCATGTACTGGCTAGATCCGAATCTTCGATACGCCACAAGGGAAGCAGATATCATGGTATGTACCTGTCGGGGTCAGGAGTCTCCTAGGGACTCCGTCGATGCGTGGGAGGAGGACACAGCCTCACGTCCTCGCCTTTTGCTTCTGTTTCCTGTGCGGGCCACGTAACAGCCAGGTCTCTGGGGAGGTGAGCGGTGTGGTTTGCATGAGTGATAGGGTCCAGGGGAAGGACATCCTCTCTGGGAGTAAAGGGGATGCTGGGAGGCGTGTGGCCGTCATGGTCTGACTGCCTCAGCGTGCCTTCCACCACTGCCACCTGCTCGCTGTAAGACTCTGGGCAGCATACTTGCTGGCCAGCCCCTTCCTTTCTTGGAAACTGAGCGAATAGTCCATTTTTGGGAGTTTTATTGTGAGCGAAACAGAGTAGCATTATCTACGTTGAGGCCTTGCACACTCCAGGTCCTCAGTGGTGGTAGTGGCGGCCGTTCTAGCAGGTGTGACCCTCAACACCACTGCTTTCTGCTTTAGCCCTGACACCGTGATCCTTCGAGATGAGGGTGTCATCTCGAAGGATCCAGACCAGAAGGGGCCGGTTTTAATGATCCAGGCCATTTTGTTCATTATTATTATTACTTTTTTACCCACAAAAATAATTTCATTCTTGGGTATAGCTACTCTGTACTTCAGCTTTTAAGGGAGAGACTATTTTATACATGAATGCTATTTCTTTCCTTTTTTATTTTTATGTTTCTTAACAATACCTAACACTTGGTACAGACTGAGGGAAGAACCTAGTGATTAGTGATGCTTAGAAATGGAGAACAGGCATCTGGGCCATACGCAGGCCTTGCTTAAGAGACGATACCAAGGGACTTGATGAAAGGTCCAAGAAGTGATTGTTCCACTGGACTTGAGGTTGGACAGTGTTCCAAGACTTTATCTTTGACTTCACAGAGGGCATGTTAAAGGAAGGGAGAGGATGCCAAAAATGACCTAAAGTCTCCGGATGGAAAGTCTGTTTGGGGGTTTCTTGCTTGGAGGAGCAGAGTAGCCTGGGGTGACGTGGAGCTTTTCCTGATGACGGCAAAGGCAGTGACGGGTATGGAGGCCGGGGCGTCACTGACTGTGGGCTGTCGGTCCCGCCAGGCCCCGCATCTGTTCTCTGTGTGCCTCACGCATGCATGCTAGGCCTTAATGTCCCCCATTATATCAAGAAGGGAATGGATAAATATCTCATTGAAATCACAGAGCTGGTAAGAGCCCTCTAACTTCAGGACCTGATGGTGCCCTGGGTGTATCGTTATCACATCAGCAGCGTGTTCACACCCACGGGGGCCTTATGAAATGGCGATTGGAGGAAATAGGACTTATTCCAGATAGGATCATATCCCCCATGATTTTCTTGAGTTTTTGAGCAAAATTGGTTACATCACGAAGTAAAATGATCTGCAGTGTGACTAGGACTTGGTATTTGGTCAAGTGTCCCTGGCTTTGGGACACCCTCTCCCTTCTGCTGCCCAGAGTTGTGCCTGTACCTGCTCCCACATCCCTCCCACAACCAGGACCTCGAGGCCTACCTGATGGGATTGATCGTCGGCAAGTCTTCATGGATAATTACGATGCCAGTAGTTATATTTGGCCCCTTACAACTCTCGAAGTGCCTCTGCACATGTTGAAGCGCAGAAATAGTCCCACAAAGGGTAGAAAGGCCTCCAGAGTCATCTTCAACTCACGGTGACTTGAAGAGCAGCCTTCTGAGCAGCCTTTCTCGTCAGCCCGTGCAGCAGGTGCAGCACACATACGAGGGTCGGTGGTGCAGGAACCACCACGGGCCCCGTGACCCTGCCCTACCCTGACCCCGCTGCTTGGGCCTCAGGGTATTTCTCTCCGCCATCTGTGACTCCTGTGACGTTCCAGAAGCTGGGTGAGGATCTTCATCTTCCTGCAGTCAGCTAAGCCCCATCCTGACTTCTCCCCATCGAATCTTTCGCTGTTATCTCCAGATTTCCCGCTTACACGTCATAATATCACAGTGTTTCTGGAAAAAAAAAAAAGTTTTTTTAAAATGTCCTTTTACCTTTGCAAACTGGAATGACCTGGATGGATCCAGGAAAGGCCTCAGGAACCTGCTGTGGTGGGTTTTGGAAGAGAGAGACGAGTTACCAAAGTGTTCTTTCACTCCCTTGGGAGGTGTCGTTTCTAGAATTTGGAAATATCAATACTTCACAGGAATTCTTTCCACTGGCTGATGACAGGTAGCTGTTTTCCAAATCTTGCTTCATCTTATCACATTAATTTTGGGAAGAAAGAATGTCAAACATAGAGGTCCCTGAGAAATGTTCTATTCTCAGGTGATAATTGGTTTCCTAATAAATACAGACATATGAGGATGTAGGCTTAATATTTCTTTAAAATATGTCATTTAAAAACAAAGATATTAGAAACAAAACCAAAAATTTTAAAAGTTCTGTCATTTTTGAATATTTAAATCATGTAGCATCTGATAACATTTTGGGGGATGGGAGGTTTATTTGGTTTCCTTCTAATTTCTGAAATTGGATGCTTCAGCTTTTCCTCTTGCATAAATATTCAAGACTTTAGGTTTTCCTCGGAGTTCTACTTGGGCTCATCTCATCGTTCTGAGACGTAATATGTTCATTGCCATTTAATGCTGTGACTATATTTCACATTTCTATTCTGATTCCCTCTTTACGCCATAGTATTTAGATGCGTTTTTAAGTTTCCCAAACTTCCTGTTTATCGACAGGGATTCTCTTTATGTTTTCATCACCGGCAAGGTAATCTCGCGGAGGCTTACTAGCAAAGAGCACAGCAGTTCCGATTCATGAGCTGTAGTGTTTGTCCGTCTTCCTGAAGGGTGTTGAGTCACTGAAACTTTTGGGGGGTGGGGGGGCACAGGTGTTAGTTGTCCAGGTCAGGTGAGTTCTGCATGTGTGGTCAGTGTCCTGGAAGGGCATCCATGTCGAGAGGATGCACCAATCGTTTCCCTTTGCCCTCCGAATAGGAGTACGCTGTCAACTGCCACGTTATCACCTGGGAGAGGATTATCAGCCATTTCGACATATTTGCGTTCGGACATTTCTGGGGCTGGGCCATGAAGGCCCTGCTGATCCGCAGCTACGGCCTGTGCTGGACAATCAGCATCACCTGGGAGCTGACTGAGGTAAGCGGGCTGACGGCGCTGGCTGGCCTGGGCGGGGGTGGCCTGGTGGTACCTGGCACCTGCCGCTCCTGCAGCACTGTGCTGCTGATGAGTACCCCACCGACCAAGTATCCCACCGACCGAGTACCCTGCTGACTGAGTACCCCGCCAAGGGACACTGTGGGCTGGCCTGCGCGGGGGCTTGGCTCCGGCTCCCTGCCCCCCTGACGGGTCTCCTGTCTGTCAAGTCTTAAGGGCAAAAGTAGCGAAAACAGTGAGGTTAGCATCCCTGGGGGAACGCATGGTGCTGAGAGCCACTGGAAGCAAACGGGCCCGGCTCGTCTGCAGCTGGAGAGGGACTGGCCCCGCGGTGCAGTGGTCACAGGAGTGTCTGGGGACCTGTGTGGGGTGCGGCCTCCCGACCTGGTGCCGGCACTGCCCATGCTCAGAGAGGCAACAGACTCGACAACCTGTTAGGAAAGTGAGGTTCGGGGACTTGCTCGTGCCGGCCCGCTCACTCGCTGGTGCAGGGCGGCGTAGCTCTGGGTGGAGCGGCCATGTGGGACAGAGGTTGGGAGCACTGGCCACACAGGCCTCCGCCGGCGGCCTCCCACAGGCCTCTGAGGCCTGGCCTGGCGCCCCCCGCTCTGCCTGTGTGGGTCTGCGCCGGGGGACGGTCAGGTGATGGCCCGCCTCAGCCACGGGGTGGCCGGGTGGTGGCTGGGTGAAGGGCCCGCCTCAGCCTCAGCTGCAGGAGGGCGGGTGACGGCCCACCTCAGCCACAGGGCGGCCAGGTGATGGCCAGGTGACGGGCCCACCTCAGCCGCAGGGTGGCCGGGTGGTGGCTGGGTGACAGCTGCGGGACAGCCCCACCTCAGCCGCGCACTTCCGGGGAGGCAGCACGGGAGGCTGCAGACCGGATGGTCCATGGGAGGCTTCTGAGGGGACGCGCGTCGGTGCCCTTCCCCCTGCCGGGAGCCCGAGGAAGCGTCTGCTGCCGGGCGCGGACGGGGTGCTCAGCCTGGCTGCCCGCATGAGCTTGAAGTGAGGCGGGGGTCCGGGCCGCCCTCCCCTCCCTGCCCACAGGGCTGTGCTGCGGGCCACCCCCCAGGCCTGTGTGACGGGCGCCTCGCTTGCCCTCCCGTGCCCTCACAGCACCTGCTGACAGCCACGCCGTCCATCTGAAGAGCAAGTCCAGGGCCCGGGGGCTCAGCGGTGAGCAGCCGCCTCGGGCCAGGCGTGCCCCCGGGTCCCGGGATGGAGTCCGCAGCGGTCGGCGGGTCCGCAGGGAAGCCTGCCTCTCCCTCTGCGGCGTCCCCGCCTCCCTCCGCGTCTACGTAAATCAGTCTTTACGTCGGAACATGTGGATAGCTCGCCCAATGCCGCTGGGCCCCACCTGCCCACCCACTGGGCCTACCGGCCTGTGCAGCCGTCTGTGTGTCTCCTGTGGCGCCCGGCCGCGGCGCCCTCCTCCTGCCCCCTGCGCTGGCTGTGGCCATTTGTCCCTGGACATAGGGCAGTGGGCCCTCGTCCCCTGAGTGTTCCTCACGGAGCGGGAACCCGGAGCGTCCCCTCCCTGCTACGTGCTGTGCCCGCCCATCCTGGTGCCGCGGTGGCAGGTGCGCCCACCTAGCTGGTGAGTCACGGCCGGCCCTCCCAGCTCCTGCCCAAGGCCCGACACACGACGGCCGGGAGCCCAGCGCCCTGCTCCATCAGGTGGCCCAGCCGGGCCCAGATGTGTCCCCCCACCCGGGCTCCCCGTGGCCAGCCTCGCCCCCAGAACCCGGGACCCTCGAGAAGCCCCAAGGCCAAGGCGCATCCTCCACCTGCTGCTCCCCTGCGGAGGCCCGTTTCAACCAGTTTGCATCCTCGGCTGCTGCCGTCAGGTCCCCGTGCCCTGCGCCGGGCACCAGGCCAAGTTCTGGACATGCGTGCATGAACAGCTTGGGCTCACAGGCCCTGTCCCGTCGCCGCCCGGGCTCCTTGTGCGGCCTTGCCTCCTTCCAGGGGATGCCCTGGCGCTGTCTTTGTGATTTCTGAGCCCTTGACGCGGGCCTTCCCAGCCCCTGCACGCGGCTGGTGCCCTCGCACTTGGCCTTGGACGAGGCGGCGACCGTGGGACACTTACCCCCTTCCCCCCCTTCCCCTTTCTGGAATGTGCTCAATCCACTCCTCACCGCCCTTCACGGGCCGCCCACTGTGTCTCTCTGCTCAGCGGCTGTCGGGGCCGCTCTCTGTCCCCACCGTTCGTGTCGCCGTGGTAAGGCTGCCAGGCCTACCGTACTCTGCGGTTCTCGTGAACGTGCGACCCCTGCCCTTGAGACGGGAGCCTGGACTGGCGTCTGCCCCCTCCCCACACACCAAGAGCCCTGAGTGAGTGATGACAATGGTGAACCGGTTGTCGGAGGTTTCCTGTCCGTCTCCTGAAACATGTCATCAGAACATAACCTCGCTACTTCCGCAGCATCCCTGCTGTGGCACCTAATGTCCCTAGGGTGGCGCAGCTCGGCGCCCAGGCTGCTGGCTTTGAGGGCTATGGCAGTGCTCTGCGGTGGGTGTGGGGGCTCTTCTCCTCCTCCTCCTCCCCCCACATCCTGGTCTCCTCGCTAGCCTGGGTCAGTCGTCAGCAGCAGTCGTCGGGGTGGTTACCGTCTCCGCACGTCAAGGCAAGAATGGCCTGGAGTCCTAGTATTTGTAAACCATCGCCAGCACAACAGAACAAACCTGATTACAGACCTCGCTCTGTTCGTACGTTAGGAGATCTTGACACGTCAACAGTTCCTCCCGGAAGAGTGTCTGGTTATGGGGGAGTCGCTCTTTCTGCAAAGTCTTGTCCCTAAAACCATGATCTCTTGTGCTCCTCAGCTCTTCTTCATGCACCTGCTGCCCAACTTCGCCGAGTGCTGGTGGGATCAGGTCATCCTGGATATTCTGCTGTGCAACGGCGGCGGCATCTGGCTGGGCATGGTCGTCTGCCGGTTTCTGGAGATGAGGACCTACCACTGGGCCAGCTTCAAGTGAGTGGCCTTGCTCCTGGAGGGGTCACTGCCTGCACACCTCCCCGTGGTAGTTGCGTGCAGCCGCGGCACGGCCTTGGGTGATAGGAAGTAGATCACACGTCAGTAATTGATGAGAAACCTGATTTGGGGCATTTATCCAGAAAATGCTAAACCATTCATGGTTTCCTTACGTGCACCGTATTCTTATTGCGATGGCTTCTCGTGGTCTGTAGGACGGAGTGCACATAGTGGGCCAGGCAGGTGCCCCTTCTCCACGCCCTCTGGGGCACTCAGCATTCTGAGCTCGTGCACATGCCCCCTCTCTGCCCAGCTCTGACCCATGTCCCCACGTGCCAGGGAGATGGGTCCTCCCCTTCCTGCCTCAACTCCCTACCCCATCAGGTAGTCGTTTCTGACTCCGATTCAAGTCGCACGTCCCTCTGTGCCACCCCGGGGGACAGAGCCCACCTCTGTGCTCCCTTACCCTGCTCCCCTGAACTCGCTCCTCAAGTTGATGGTCAGAAGAACCGTGCTGTTAGTAAGGAGGAAGGGAACAGCAGGAGTGGTGGTGTTTACTCTGTCATTTATTTATCAAACAAAATATGAACGTTTCCTACCTCATCAATAGTAAATTGTGATTTTAAGGGCTTCTTCATATCCCAACGTATGATGAGATCGTGAGGCATTTAACCAGTTCCCTTTTGTGGTCACTTAGTTGTTTTAAAGTTTTCAGTTTTGTGAAAAAAGCTAGGGTGAACATTTTTTTTTTTTTTAAGATTTTATGTGTTTATTCATGAGAGACCTGGAGAGAGGCAGAGACATAGAGGGAGAAGCAGGCTTCCTGTAGGGACCCGATGTGGGACTCGATGCCGGGACCCTGGGGTCACGCCCTGGGCCCAAGGCAGACGCTCAACCTCTGAGCCACCCGGGTACTCCAAGAGCAAACATTCTTGAACATATATCTTTGTGTAAATTTCTCACTTTTTTTTTCTGTAAATAAATTTATTTGTTTATACCCATTTATATTCTCACCCACGTTCACTGATGTGTATAATGTGTCCATTTAACTGTTTCTTTGAATTTTACTTTTAATCCTTCTTTAATGTGATCACACATTGTTGTGATACTGTATTTCTAGCCTACGTGTATTAGGCTTTCCCTCTTTTTATTAGTGCTTTTCATAGGTGAACGATATTAACACTCTGTCATAAATGTGACTTTATTTTTTATTGTGTTGCCCAGGTTTGATTTTCTTTGTGGTAGGTACTCCACTTAAACTTTAAAAGCTTTTTAGTCTTTCTGTTTAGGTAACTATTAGCCTGTATTTTCTTCCAGTTCTTTGATGGTTTGGTGTTTTTCCATTATGCGTAACTTATTTACTGTGTCTTGAACTTAATCTGGTATATGGTGTGAGGGAGAGATTCCTCACAGTTTTTCCGACTGATTTCCTCACTCCTTTCCAAATAGTTTTCCCAATTCTTTTCTAAATAATCCTTTCTTTGGATATTGACTTGCAAGCATGCTTTTTCATATATTTAAGACCACATGTCATGGAACAAAACCTGTAGCTGTGCCTCATGTTGCTGCAAAGAGCAAGCTTTATAAGCAGTATCTTGTTTGAGCCTGACATCCACCCTGGGGGCCGACACTCCGTCCTCCCCGGGGACCAACGCTCCCTCCACCCCGGGGGCCGACACTATTTCTCTCTTCCTTCCAGAGATGGTGACTGTGAGAATTAGGTTTAGAACTTTGCCCGAGAACACTCCGCTAGCAAGCAGCTGAGTCTGAATTTACGTCAGGCTGTCCGGCCCTTTACGCGCTGCCATAACGCTTCCCCATTGTCATACATTCATGCTTTCGATTTAACTTGAGAACCATTTTGTCAGGTTACGAAAACACATGCCCAACCACTAAGCAGAAATATATAAATGAACGGAAAGTCTAATTAACCCCTTTCCTGTACAGATGGTCCTGACGTACAGTGGTTTGACTCAATGATTCTTTGACTTCACCTAGTGTGAAAGTGACACAGATTCAGTAGAAATACTTTGCATTCCGAATGTGGATCTTTGTTCGGGCTACTGATGCACATAGGACCATCTCTCTTGGTCCAGTGCCGGTCAGCCAGGCCATCACGCCTGTGGACCTCCGATAGGTCCTCACACCCGTTCTGCGCCCAGACAGCCACTGCTCCTCACCGTCGTACGGTGCTCCATAAGTGCCGTGAGATACTCGACACTTTATCATAAAAGGGGCTTTGTGTCAGAAGATTTTGCTCGACCCCCATAGACGAATGCAAGGGTTCAGAGCAGGTTCAAGGTGGGCTGGACTAATCTGTGACGTTTGGTAGGTTAGGTATATTAAATGCATTTCCATCCTTTGATATTTCCAATTTGTGACGGATTTATCAGGACGGAACCCCATCCGTCAAAAGTGGAGGGAGATCTGTACTGAGCCCTCTAATACGTGGTCACTCTGTGTCACTTTCTTTACGCCTGTTTCTCTACCTCTTAACATATAGTTGGGTATTTTTTTTAAATACAGGTCCTTCATAATTTTTGTTCATTTTTGGATGATCTGTTTTTTTGTTACTCATGGGCCTCATGTCTTCTTGCTGTGAGACTTCACCAATACACACTTGTTGATGGGTTTGGGTGAATGAATGAAGGAACAGACCTTCACGTCTTCCCCCAGGAATAAAAGGCCCAACCCGTTCGCTTTTACACCTTCTGCACTTCGCAGTGTCTGACATATGGGCCAGCGTGAGGGGCCAGCGCATACTCGTGGCTGTGATGCTCACGAGGGGAGCCGTCATGGGCCAGTTGCGCTGAGCTTGAATGTTGTCATTTGTCGTGCATGGGAATCTTCTTCCTTTCTGTCATGGGAGGGTGACATTTTTAACTGAGTGATCTCTAGGGTTAAAACTAAGGGAAGCTTAAAAATCAGCCTGTCCTCTGCAACTGTTCAGTTAGGGACAGATGGGATGAAGAAATGGTGTGGGTGACCTCAGAATACAAGTGCTTGCTCTATTTTACAAAAGTGCCCTGACTTGGGCGACATGCAGCGGGTGGGATCGTGTCCTTGCTGGCGTCCTGGTGCTCCCTGGCCTGGTTCCAGGCGGACCTCGTTAGCGCCTCTGCCCCTTTTGTCACTGGTTGGTGAGTTCAGGCCTCTCCTGGCTTTGCGGTGACCTGACCTCTGCCCTGTGCCTGTCGCCACTAGGATTCCCCATCGAGTAGACCCCTCTCCACGCTTCATGGGAATAGAGAGATCGTTGTTGGAGAGCTGGTTCAACTAGGAAGGAACCTTTTTGTTCTGAGAGCTTGTCGTAAAATTGTCAGCCGGGTTTTTTTTTTTTTTCCTCGACTTTGTTTTTCTTCTTTCCCCTTCCTTATCTCTCTGGATTTTCACTGGAGCCGTTCTCTTCTTACAGAGACATCCATACCACCACTGGGAAGATCAAAAGAGCTGTGCTCCAGTTCACTCCTGCCAGCTGGACCTACGTGCGATGGTTTGACCCCAAATCTTCATTTCAGAGAGTGGCTGGAATATACCTTTTCATGATCATCTGGCAGGTATTCTTTCAGATGCTCAGAACTTGGCGGGGGCAGGGGGGAAGAAACCAAAACCAAAGCAAAATAAAAACTGTCGAGGAATTTAGAGTTAACGCTAGTTGACACTGCCTACCAGCTGGCGGCTGGTTTGGAAGGTATAAAATCCTACAGCTGACATAGAGAATAATTCAACAGAACACTGTTGTCACGCCTACGGTCTTGCTTCCTGGTGTAGACATTTTCCAGTTTCTTTCTTTGAATTGCAAACTAGAAACAGCTTAAAATTCCCCGAAAGAAGCTTTTGGTCAGCAGCTGTCACCCAAAGCATCAGGCATTGGGTAGCTTTTCAGAGTGATCATTTTGAGGACCAAAGGAACAAAACACAAAGGTTTTTTCTTATGTTCCAAACTTAACGTTTGATTTGTAAGATTGTGCCTGAGCTGTTACCATTCTCGGTAATTGGTGAAGAGCTTAGTGAAGCAGCCGTCTGCCATCAGTGGGGGACTGGAGCCCTCTGGGGACCTGGGTCCTCCGGGATGGTGCCGTCAGTGGACGGAAGGTCTCCTTCCAAGCAGCCCACTGCGCGACTGAAGCGATTCAGACAGCCACGGGTCTTGGAAGAGGATTACCAAACATCTCTGCCTTTAGTGTCGATCCTCCTGTGCTCATGTTAATTATTTTACACTTTGGGAGACTAGCTTTTGCCTGAAGAGTCTTTTGGAATCAAGAGAAATTATATTTTGAACACAGGCAGGAAATACTCCCATCATAAGAAAAAATAAGCGTACATCACCTTTAAGACAAGTGTCCTTGCGTACACGCGGGGAATGATAATGCTCATCTCCGTAAATGGAGTTTAGGGCTACGGAAGTGTAGGTGAAGAGTTAAATAGTCACCATGGTTTGGGGAAGCCAGTTTGTATAAAAATGGGACTTCAAATGGATGGGGATTTAGTTTTACCTTATCAGAGCAGTACCCAGGAAGGCATAGGCTTTCCTTGACTACAAAAACCGAGGAGGAGTTTGGATTTGTCTGGGAGAGAGAGCAAGACGTGCCCCCAGAACAGCAGCATCACAGAGCACGCCACTCCTGTGAGGGTGAGCGCTGAGTGGTGATCAGCTTTCCACCTGTGTTAATTAGGGGACCATTTTATATCCTCGAAATCCATGCTATGGGAAGAGAAGCATGTCTTCTGTCACTGAAGTGAACGTGCTGGTCCGTGTGGGTTCAAAGCAGTGCCCTTCCCCAATCTCCACTCCTTGCTGGACCTGGAGGGGCAGTGCAGGAGGCGGGCCCGGCATGGAGCTCATCCCCAGGGCCGTCTCACGCGATGAGCTGTCCCGGGATGCTAACCTCGGGGGCAGGTACCACAGGCTGCAGGGGAATCCTTGAGCCAACCCTCACACCCACCTCTCAGAGCTTGCCTTTGGCCGGGGCAGGTGCTTGAGCAGTTCACAGTCATTTCTCGTCCTCAGGCTTCTTCTCACCTTCCTGCAGCTGTACATCTTAGAGATCTGGCCCGATTTCTGTAAGGCTGCTTGGGTGTCCCACGGCGAATACTTGTTTTCATGACTTTTACTGTTGTCCACGCATCTCTTTCCCAACTGCACTGCAGATCCCACGCGTGACCCAAGTGGCAGCCGCATGCTGGGAAACGTGACAAAGAGCTGATGCCACCTTGGACCCCTTCCCCCATCCCAGCTCCTCCCCCGTAACCCCCAGTTGGTTGGTGCCAGTATTGTACTGGCCATTAGTTTACATAGCACCTGTTCCACTAGCCACTTGGAAGACCCCATACATTTTCTGAAAACGCTTTGAGCGTCCTCATCATGTTTAGATGTCCATAACAAGGAATATGCTACTGTGACTCCGCATGCAGCATCACGTTGACTAATGCTTCCTTCTTTTTCAGCTAACTGAGTTGAATACCTTCTTCTTGAAACATATCTTTGTGTTCCAAGCCAGTCATCCATTAAGTTGGTGTAGAATTCTCTTTATTGGTGGCATCACGGCTCCTACAGTGAGGTAATTCTATACACACCTGTCATTTGAGCACATGAACCTGCTATGTGTTCTCCTGTTCAGCGTGAGGAAAGTCATGTAGAGTTGCAGATTTCACATGAAAATATCAGAAATATGAAGACAATGTTTTGCTTTCAGGCCCCAATGACATGAAGTGAGAACAGCACACCCACCATTTTCTTCAAACCTTTTTATAATGTTCTACTGCTGTTGCTTTTTACCTCCCTTTAACATCCTTTAAAAAAAATGGGGGTAGCAGTGGTGCTGACTTTTTTCTGAAATGAGATGATTGAAAATGCAGGAGTTTTAATGGTGACTCGGAAGTCATAAATGATGGTATTTTTGGAATGATACTTTGTTAGCTCCTTTAGAGCTGGTTACTTTCAAGTGTCCTTCCTGTCATCCTCCAGGACAACCAAGAGAAGCTTGAATATCTGTGCTGTTATTCCACCTATTGGGGTAGGGCCCAAGACTGGAGGTGTTCTTCGGGGACTGCCCCTCATGTAGACTAATCCCACTGAGTATCAGACACTGTTTCATCTGTCTCATCTTTCCTGTTTAGAGCTAGTGGCATTTGGGTTTTACAGTTAACGTGAAGCTCCAGCATTGACCAGTAATGACACCAGCAATATCTGCACAGTTGATGAAAATATAAACTAAGCAATTACAAGGGTTAGTGTTTCAGAAGCTGTAGGATGACTTAATTCACTATTTTTAATGTGCATGCAAACCACACAAGCAGAGCGCTTGCCAAGAAGAGTGGGTATTCTTGGTCCAACAAACCTCCTCCCTCCAGCCAGCACCTCTTCTGGTTTTCATTAATTATTACAAAAAGTAAATAAGCATCTATCTATCTCCTAATATACCTGTATATATGTGTTCCCCACCCCTCCCCTCCCCGGATCCTGGATTGAACAAACCAAGTAAGATACAACTGAGTCATGGGGAGTTAAGGCCCAAAATTCTCTCTCTGGTTTTCATTATGAACCAAACAGGAAACCAACAGTTGGTAGGCAGGTGGCGTCCTAACCCGTCACAGACCAGTGGTCTGCTGAAGTAGTTTTCTTGTAAATATGCCATTTTCCTTAGTGGATTGGAACCTTCTTCTCTTATTTCAAATTTAATTTAATTTGAGGCTCACAATTATCTTCAAGAAAGATTAGCACAGCTTCTTCATAAAATTAGAAATGATCAACAAAATCAGCGGGGAAAGAACTCTCTCATAAAACAGAATCGCGAATCACATCTGATTGTGAAATTCCAGTTTCATTAAATAAACATTTCAAAGCAAAAACTGGAGACTGTCCCGTTTTGAGTTTTGAGAGCTTAAAATTTTTGCCAAATCCTATGTATGGATTTTTACATGATTCTTTCTTGTTTAAAACTCAGCCACTTTTTTCTATGCTTTTATACCAACCTGAGGCATTTCCTATGTAAGAAGATGCTTTCACAGGCAGCTTGGAAGTATGGAAGAGCTCTAGTGGGTTTTAGCACAGCCACTCCAGCTAGCAAGTGCCAGGCCCTAAAAGGAGAGAAAGCTTACAGGCTTCGCGTTAAACCATACAGACCACATCTCCATTTTCTTCCTTTTTGATTCGCTTCTCTTGCTTGGAGAGGATGTTTGACTGAACATTCTTCTAATCTAATAATATGAAGTGCAGTCTAAGGGGAGGGATATGGTTGGACAGTAGAGTAGCTAAGCTGGTAAAAGCATATTAGGTCATAAAAATAGAAAGTGAGAGACGGACCTGAAATCTTCATGACTAGAATTCTCCACTCGGGTCTTTGCAGGTGAGGTGGTAGTTTGTGGATGACCTTCAGGTATCCACGAATCCCCTGAGGCTTAATGCAAAGTTTATAGCGTGTGTGTTCGTGTGCATTTATCATAGGTGTCATTAAATCCTCAAAGGAGTCTGTGACCCCAAGAAGATGATGACTCCTGCTTCAGGTGCTACTTCTGAAGGGATATATTGAGTTTGGGGGGGTAGTTATGAGGGTCTAAGCTTGCGCTGTCCTAAACAGCGGCCACTCACCCCTGGTGGTGGTCGAGCACTGGAGATGTGACTGGTTTGCGTTAAAATGTGCTACACGTGTAAAATACACACCTATGTAGACTTAGTGCAAAAACAGTAAAAATACTTCATTATAGTTTTCGATATGTTGGATCAAATAACTTATGTTACAAGAATGAATGTTACCTGTTCCCTTTTACTTCTTTAACATGGCCCCTGGAAGATTTTACATTGCACTTGTGGCTTGTGTTATATACCTATGAGGACGATGCTGCTCTAAGCCTTTCAACCCCATACCATCGCCTGTTTTTTTCCTATCTCGTCAGTAACGTTCAAAGTCATTGGTATTCAGTGAACAGTGACGGTAGCCAGGGCCCCATTCCAGTTCCCGAGAGCCAGGAATGTGTGTCCGTCCTGCCTGGTTACAATCAGCAACCTTTGTCCTGGAGAGTGCCAGAGGGGACCGTTGGTGACAGTGTACGTGACCTCCAGAATCACTTCCATGCACAGAGGCTTGAAGAACCCACTCTGTCCCCGAACCAAAACCGCCTTTGCAAATAGTCGGCACTTTAAACCATGCTCTCCTCCTTCCAAACCCAGCCCGAACTCTTAACCTTTGCAGGAATGTTTCTGCAGAGGCCCCGGCTTCCTACCCCCTTGACTAGCAGTAGACCAGGCAGCCAGAGTATGTAGATCCAGGCCAAACATCTTTTGTATTTACTCTGTCAAAGTGATTTAATGCTATACTGACCCCTTGGTCTTCCAGAAGCTCTCAGTGAATTCCGCCTTTGTTCTTTCAGGCAGTACTATGCTTACCTCACTGACACACAGTGCAAACGCGTAGGAACACAGTGCTGGGTGTTCGGGTGAGTAATCTGTTTCTGTGGACACTTCAGAACCACTTAAGCCTTTAAATCTCCTTGGTTATTTCTTGACCCTAAAGTAAGGGTCAGCCTTTTGGTACAATTTGCCTGTGAAGGCTCACTGTTGTTTTCTCATATGTCTTTTCATTTTTAACACTTTCTGATTGAAGTTTAGAATATTGTAGTTGATTGGCAAATTGTAGAAAGAGGATATTATATAAACTGCTTTAAAAAAAAAAAACAAAAAACAAAAAAGGAAATCGAAAGATCTTTCCTGCACAGAACTTGGGAGACTTTATTTTATGAAATCAATAGACAATGGATTATTCAAATTCCCTCTAAATTCAGTGACGTTTGTGACATCATTTTATGATAGGTTTACCAATGCTTTCTTGTTACTTTCACATCCAAAAGGGCCCTCAAAACAGATACTTGCTACCTACCAAGGTATAACTTTATTGCTCCAAAGAGAACTAACACAAATGGTCACAATTCATGGTCTTGTTATATATATATCAATGCAATTTTAATATATTATTATTTAAATGCTTTGAAAAACTGTAAGAGACTCTTAACTCTAGGAAGCAAACGTAGGGTCACTGGAAGGGAAGCTGGGGGGCAGGATGGAGTACGTGGGTGATGAGCTTTAAGGAGGGCACATGTTTTAATGAGCACTGGGTGTTCTGTGCAACTGATGAATACTAAACTCTGTGCCTGAAACTACTACTACACTATATCATAATTAACTTGAATTTAAAGAAAATCTTGAAAGAAAAAAAATAATAAAAAATAAATATCTGAGAGAAACCATAGGCTATATAGTTTAACACCACAGGGTTCAACGTGAGACCATCTTCAGTGTCTCAGGTAAGTGATTCTTTGGCTTAAAGATCACCAACAGTTTACCATTCTGTTTAGCAGGCAAGGGTCCAGAGATGTCCCACACATCTGTGTGTGACCTTCAGTCCCTGAGGCAGTTAGATTCAAGACCTAATCTAGGTTCTAGGTGGATTGTGATGGCATAAAGAAAATTTGATGAAACCCATAGGTGGGAAGAAGTTACTACTATCAACAGATTTTTAAACAGTTAAAACAGTTTATTTTTCCCGGTTAAAAAGGTAATTACAGGGCAGCCCTGGTGGCCCAGAGGTTTAGTGCCGCCTTTGCCGTGAGGTGTGATCCTGGGGTCCCGGGATCGAGTCCCATGTCAGGCTCCCTGTGTGGAGCCTGCTCCTCCCTCTGCCTGTGTCTCTGCCTCTCTTTCTCTCTCTCTCTCTCTCTCTCTCTCTCTCTCTCTGTGTGTGTTTGTCATGAATAAATAAAATCTTTTTTTAAAAAAAGTAATACATATGTGTAGATTTAAAAAGTGGCAAAAGAAGAAACTAAGGAACATCCAGAGAAGTCACCTGGTCAGAGATGATTGCTGTTAACATTTCTGTTATTCTTTCTAAACATTTTTCTGTGTGTATATGTGTGTGTACGTGTGTGTGGGTATATATGTGTGTGTACACGTGTCCAGCTCTTAGAGTCTGAGGGGTCACCCAGGTTACCTTAGGCAGCCTTTTCACCTCCTAGAACACACAGGGTCAATGTCCTTATTTCTCAAACATTCTCTGATGTAAGCTGACTATCATGCCCAGAGTACCTTAATGGGTGATCGCATGGATTATTAGCTTTCCATTGTTGAGTGATCTAACGGGAGACAGAACTACAGATTGAGCAGAGGCCGGGTGAGAGCACAGTTGTTGAGTCATGAAAAGGAGGTAGGAGGACTCTATTTCCTGTCTTGCCCAAGGAGCATGAAAGCCATGGGTTTTGCATCTCCATGTCCACAGAGCGGTTGAGCCCTCCTCCCTGGTGAATGGGAGTCCACGTACAGTTTGCTCTCCATGTGCAGAAGTCCTTGCTAGAGTCTTACTCCACTGCAGGTGGACGTACTCTCCACATAACCACCTCCGTTGACCCGTTGGGGGAAAGGAAGGCCAATCAGAGAGAGAGATACTGTCACCAAGAAATGGTTTCTCCTCAAACAGCAAAAGTACAATCCAAGGTGCTAGGAGAAATGGAAAGATAAAGAGGGATGGAATGGAAAAAAACACAGGGCTGCGGAACATCCCCACCACGTCCAGAGTGATCAAGGAAGGCAAAGTGCAGGGAGAGAACCTGGGCTTAGTGCGCTTCTCTAGGACGGAGAGCCCTAGGGGTGGTTAGTGCGCTTCTCTAGGACGGAGGGGCCCAGGGTGGTTAGTGCGCTTCTCTAGGACGGAGAGCCCCAGGGGTGGTTAGTGCGCTTCTCTAGGACGGAGGGGCCCAGGGTGGTTAGTGCGCTTCTCTAGGACGGAGAGCCCCAGGGGTGGTTAGTGCGCTTCTCTAGGACGGAGAGCCCCAGGGGTGGTTAGTGCGCTCCTCTAGGACGGAGAGCCCCAGGGCAGTTAGTGCACTTCTCTAGGACAGAGCCCTGGGGGAGGTTAGTGCCCTTCTCTAGGTCGGAGAGCCCCAGGGGTGGTTAGTGTGCTTCTCTAGGACGGAGAGCCCCGGGGGTGGTTAGTGCGCTTCTCTAGGTCGGAGAGCCCCAGGGCAGTTAGTGCACTTCTCTAGGACGGAGAGCCCCGGGGGTGGTTAGTGTGCTTCTCTAGGACGGAGAGCCCCGGGGGTGGTTAGTGCACTTCTCTAGGTCGGAGAGCCCCAGGGCAGTTAGTGCACTTCTCTAGGACGGAGAGCCCCGGGGGTGGTTAGTGCGCTTCTCTAGGTCGGAGAGCCCCAGGGCAGTTAGTGCACTTCTCTAGGACGGAGAGCCCCAGGGGTGGTTAGTGCGCTTCTCTAGGACGGAGAGCCCCGGGGTGATCCTCAGAGACTCAGGCCGGCCACTGCTCAGCCTTACCTGGTTGGGACTGGGTGGGAAAGAGCCCCAAACTCTCTAACAATACATTAAGGAAATTTTGCACTTTGGTTCAGGTTCAAGGTGTTGAGTTGTTAACAGCCTAGAACCCTCTCTACCCCTGTGGAAGGCAGGGATCTTGCACCTGCCCAGTGGTATGGGGACTGATGCCTCCTGGGTCCCTTCTCTCCTTTTGAGAGAGTGTGCAGCTACACCAACCCCTGACCGACGCCCCTCCACCTTGAGTAAGGAACACCCGTGGAGCTGTCTGAAGTCCGCATTCTGGCGTAGTCTTGGGATCGCACGGCCGGCTCTGTCCTCAGGTCATCCGTTCTTGCCACCAAGTTCTGAACCTTCGTAAAGGTCTGGTCTTTATAAGGTCTGATCATAAATGAAGATGCAGAACAAGAGTGGGTTTTTTTTTCTTTACTCCTTTATTTTTAACAGAAGAGTAAAATGAAATTTGTTTTGACTCTTTTATATTTAGAAAATAAAGGATTATTTCTACGGTCAGCAAGAACTGGGAACAAGGGATATTGAATGTGGAAGTGCTTAGAAGTCTGGGAGGGAATGGAACTGCTGCCTTCAGGTTATTGAAAGACTTGCCTGAAAGGCTTCAACTGTAGGACTAGAGGACGGGGTTAGGGCCCACGGGCAGAGAGAGGCCGATGCCAGCCCGAGAGGAGGAAGGCTTGCCAACAGCTAACGAGACTGAGTGACAGAGTAAGTGGGCTCCAGCAGAGGTGATGACAGTTCACCCCGATGATAACAAGCTGACTTGGAGGCTTCCAACGGTTAAAATGTATGAGTTGAGGTCTTGATCTGGGAGAAAGAAAAAGTGAACAATGCTTTATTATTTCTGGGAGGCTGTGGAGAGACTGATAGGCAGAACAAGGGCTTCTCGGGGCGGTATAGCGAACCATTCTGCATGATCCTGTAAGGGCAGACGCACATCCCCGTCCGTTAGTCCAGACCCACAGAGTGTACAGCCCCAAAGGAATTGTCACGTGAACTCTGGTCCCTGGGCCCTGATGGTGTGTCCTGTAGCTTCATCAGGTGTAACAAATGGAGCGCTCTGGGGAGACAGCAACGAGCAGGGAGCTCTGCGGGACATCTCTGTACCTTGTCCACAGTTGGCCGTGAACTTGAAACTGCTCTAAAAAAAAAAATCAAGTCTTAGGAAAAATAACAGCAAAATAAACTTAGTGTTAAACTCTAAATATAGGTGTTATTTCTGAAGAGGCTGCAATGGAACAGAACAAGTGGAACATTTTGTGGGGAACCTGTTACCAGGGTATAGTGATGGAGTCCTGCATATTCCTGGTAAAGTATATGCTCGGATGAGAATTAATATTTGATCTCTCGTTCTAACTAGGGTCATTGGTTTCCTGGAAGCTATCGTGTGCATAAAATTCGGACAAGATCTCTTCTCTAAGACCCAAATACTCTATGTTGTGCTTTGGCTTCTCTGTGTGGTGAGTCATCACTTTTTTACCCAAAAGTGTTAGCAGAACTACCCCCCCCCCCACGGCTCTTAAGAAAAACAGAACAACAAAACTGTTGTGCACCAAGTTCTCTTAGAAATTTGTAGACAGGACCTTGTACTTGTAATAACCCCAAACTGGAAACTGGCCAGTAGTCTGTGAAGGTCGAGGTTAAACACGTGAGACCACCCAGCATCCAGACTGGGTCACTGTGGCGGGTTCTGGGCACATGCACTCAGCAGGTGCGCCATATGTGCGCTTGTTTCACTTCTGGGAATTCATGCCCCTGAAGGGGTGAGGACAGTTACTGTGCCCGGTAGCGTATGGACTGCGGTGCGCACACGGTTTGGGTACGAAATGACGGACTGTGGTCTGTAGGTCAGATGAGATGTTCTTGAAGGTAATCAGACCAGCTTCTGCCCCACAGGCCGACTTCACGGGCCCAGGCCCAATGAGATGAGCTTCCCCTCAGAAGGGAAGAGCCCTTGGGGGCCTCTAGCTCCACTGTCCTCGGACTTCCTCTCTTCCTTCAGTGAAGTAAGATCTTCCCTTGTGGTCTTCCACCTCGTTTCTTAAATTCCACCTATGAATGAGATCGTATGATAATTGTCTTTCTCTGAAAGGGGAAGGGAGGGGAAAAGAAAATAAGATTAAATCAGAGAGAGAGACAAACCATAAGAGGTGATGAGCTCTAGGAAACAAACAGGGTCGCTGGGGAGGAGCGGGTGGGAGGTGGGGTACCTGGGTGACGGGCATCAAGGAGAGCACGTGATGGGCTGAGCACTGGGTGTTGTATGCAACTGATCAATCACTGGCCTCTACCTTGGGAACTAATAATACACTCTATGTCAATTGAATTTAAATCTTTAAAAAAATGAAGATCTTAACCTACTATTCTATTTCTTCCCTTTTTAATTTGTTTTATTATTTTGGAGAAAAGTCTTACTTTATATTTAAGCTTAAGATTCTCCACTTTTACTTACTTTGGTCCAGAAAATTGACTCAGGTTTGTTTTATAATCATAGAACATTTCTTTTTTCTTTTTTTTTTTTTTAAAGGATTTATTTATTAATGAGAGACAGAGAGAGAGAGGCAGAGACCCAGGCAGAGGGAGAAGCAGGCTCCATGCTGGGAGCCCGATGCAGGACTTGATCCCCTGCCTCCAGGATCATGCCCTGGGCCAAAGGCGGAGCTAAACCGCTGAGCCACTGAGGCTGCCCTGTAATCATAAAACATTTCAAGTTAATTTGGAAGTAGGGTAGACGACCCCTCATGTACCCACGCATTATCCAGTGTCCCCAGTGACCACGTCATGGGCATCCAGTTCCCTTATATTCTCTACCTCCCATCCCCATGCTGAATTATTTTGAAACAGATCTACCTTTAAGAGTTCTGCATGCATCTCGAAAAGAAGAATGCTTTTTTTTTTTAATACAACCACCGTCCAATTATCACATCCACAAAGGAATGATTTTGTAATACTAGCAAGTATCTAATTGATGTTCAGACTTCCAATATTTTTTAAAACCTAGTATTTTTTAACGCTTTATTTGAATCAATATCTACCTGTTGCGATTGGTTGGCATGCCTTTTAAGTCTCTTACTGTATAGCTTTCCCTGTGTTTGTAGCTCTCTGTCCTTCACGATTTATTTGTTGAAGGACCCAGCTTTTTTGTCCTGTAGATTTTCCCACAGTCTGGATTTTACTGGTTTTATAGAGTACCCTAATTTAATAGAGGTCTTTGTCCTCTATTTTTTTCTGCAAATTGGGAGGTGAATCTAGAGGCTTAATCAGATTCAGGTCTAATTCTTTTTTTTTTTTTTCCTTTCTTTCCTTTCCTTTTTTTTGGCAAGACTAATCTTTGTATTTTTAAGGGTTTTTTTTATTGCCTTTCACAGCATGTATTTTTAGGGTTACTTGTTAGACATCTGAACTGTGCCAGAGCACCTTGAGCCTGTTCTGTCCTGTTTCACGGTGAACAATGAAAGGGAATAATGATCTCCTTTGTACCCGTTCTCCAGAACTAATGTTCAAGTGCATTTTTTCCATCCCAGGGGGACCAGAGGTAAGAATTGGTTAGGGGACCGCGTCAGATGGTCCTGGAGACTTTAACCGGGTGCTTATCACGTGTCTCTGCACGTGCACCATGTATGTGAACTGTAGCATGGCCGGCTGCAGAGGGCGGGCAGAGTGGGTGCTGCCCTCGCCTGGTGCCTGGGCCCTGGGGACCGCAGAGAGGCTAAGGTGGGAGGCAGCATCCCTTCTCCACACGCCTGCAGACGCCCCAGCCTGGAGTATCAGTGGCCAGAAGGGTCTTCCCGAGGCCGCGTCCAGGAAGCCCTCTCTGGTCGCCGGTCCTGCAGCAGCTCCTCCAGCGCCTCTTGAAGTTTCAGAGACCTTTCTCTGTTGTGCTTATTTGACGCTTACGCACGCTCCCCTGCGTGGGTGACGTCTGGCCTGCCCTGGTGCCTTGTGTCGTCACCTCGTGGAGCACGTGAGCCACTTCTTGCCCAGCGCTGGCTTCTCCTCCACCTGCCGTGGTCCCTGTAGGTCTGTCGTCTGTTCACACAACGCCCACTGAGTGTTCATTAAAGCGGCCCCGGACGTTGGACACGCTCAGATAGGTGACGGTGATGGCGGGGCTCGGGGTGCTTACCTGGGGCCAGGCGCTAGGCTCAGCTCTCCTCATGAACGTCTGAGGATTACTTCGAGGGGGGGACTTCCTCAGCCCTCTTCTGTAGGTGAGATGCAGGCACAGAAGGTTCACTGTGTGGCCCAAGGCCACACAGCAGAGCGAGGGCCTGCACCCAAATGGCCTGGCACGGGAGCTCCTGTGGGCCTGTGCAGGTGCCCTCTGCCCGGGATCTCCAGGCGCAGGTGGGGGTCGCCCCTGCACACTGGTCACACCCACGTGGTAGACATCATGAGGGGCGCACGCAGAGCTCCGGGGGCACTAGAGGGCACACACCGGGAGCTGCCCAAGTCTGCCTGGATGTGACCTGTGGGTAGGATTTTTAAGGGCGGCGGTGGGTGCTCTGCCCCTCGGGGCCACTGTCTACACGGCTGCCAGACTGTCCTCCAGGACTCAGGTCTCTGTCTCTGTCCCTGCTCGGAATCATTCCCTGTCGTTGGGCCTGGATGGGCCCAATAATGCCCCACTTCTCCGTGCAGAAGAGTCCGAGCAGAAGGTGAAAGGAGGATGCGGAGGTAGCATCGCCTCTCTTCTGGGGATGCACACTTGGCGGCGTCAGCTCTAGAAGGAGGGCACCAAGGGCTCCTGAAGGCTGAGGCCCAGCACGCGACCTGCCTCCACCCCCAGTCACAGGCCTCGGCACCCAAAGGACAGGAACCATCCAGCTTCTTACGTCGGGCTCACCAGGGGTGAGGAGACAACGCCTCTCCAGGGACAGGAATGATGGCTGCAGGGGAGCGGGGGCACCACACCAGCAAAGCTCCGTCCTGCAGGAGGAAGGATCCACAAGGAAGATGGGTCCTGCCGCCAGGCCCACCCGTGACCTCTGGCTTGTGTGTGAGGACGGTCAGCGTCCGTAGCGCCTGCTGCGCCCACCCTCCGGGACTTCATTCTCTGCCTGCCCCGTGCTCATCTCAGTCACTCAGCCAGCGCTCCCTCCACACGTCCCTGTCGTCACCTAGGGTGCTCTCCCTGCCGCATCCAAATGCCTTCCTATGCTCTTTCCACCGAGTGACTCAACATCAAGACCAAACTGGATTCCGGCCCTGACCCCCCAGGCAGGCTAGTTAAGTCCCCAGGGGGCTGCTCGCCCCTAGCATGCATTCCTGAGTTCCGGTAACCTCAGCGCAGCGAAACAGGTGATGTGTGCACACCTGTCTCCTCCGCGTTGTACCTTTTGCTCACGAGGACGTTTGTTGTCCTTTTGTCCACCCCGAGTCGAACACAGCCCCTGATGTGTGGGACTCAGGCAGCAAATGCAAGAGAATAAAGGAGTCAGTAGAAGAGCCGGAGGCCAGGGGACCCCTGGGCGGTGGAGACAGGTGCTTCAGTGCCCAGCATCTCAGGAGGACGGCAGCCTGCTGCCGAGGTGGGGGACAAGGAGCGGCTGTGTCAGAAGGACCCTTGTGTGCCTGCAGGTGGAGAGCCGAGGACGGCCGCCCTGGGGACCCGGTTCACAGGCAGGGCTGCATGGGGTGGAGCAGTCTGGAGGGGAGAGGTGCTCTCTGGGGCTGCCGAGGCAGTGTGGGGTCGGCCCCGCAGGACACCACCCCGGTGATGGTGGGCGGGTGGGCGACTGCAGGGTTTCTAGTTTGTGCCCCTGGGTGGCTGTTGGTGGTTTCCCTCAAGGGAACCCATTGAGGGAAAGGAGCCGCTCCTGATTAGGGTGTCAGGGCTTGAGGGCCCTTAGAGCTCCCAGGGGAGGACGTGCTGTACCTCTGGGAGCTCCAGTCCGCCCAGTGATGCTGGAATGCTCGGCCAGCCATGCAGCTGGGAGGGTTGAGGGCCACTGCATCAGGGGTGGAGAAGGGCGGAGCGTGGACCTCTAGGAGCAGCTGCGTGCTCAAGGAGGCGGGGCCGGAGCACGGGCCTGGAGCACAGCAGGACGCCCTGGGGAGGGCCGTCGTGTGGGTGCCGGAGGGCCTGGGCTGAAGGGAGGCTGCTGGCCGGGGTGCTGAGGTGCCCCCCTGCCCGTGCTCATGACCTCGGGATCGACCTCAGTCAGGGAGGAGAGCATCATCCAGCAAGGCAGCATGGCCCGGACCCTCCCCACTGGTGCAGTCGAGGGCCCTGACCACCCCTGACCCGGTCGCCGGACGCCTCCCCACCCCGAGACTGGTACCGAGGCGCAGATGCTGTGGGCTGCTCGCGGTTGGCCCTCAGCCGCTGTCTGATGGGCTGTCGCTCACCTGGAGGCCCTCCGGTTGTGCGCCCCGCTGCCCACGGCCCTGTGCTGCGCTGCCTCGGTTTCCCCGCGCGTCTCCTCCCACTCCCTCAACGCTTTCTGTACCCCTGCTAAGTCCAGGCCTTGACGTTTTAGAGGGATACGCGCCTAGATTTTCCCAGTGTGATTGCCAACCTGTGGCCTACAAGCCTTTGTCCCCTGGGATGCCCGCGACCCGGGCCCTCAGTTCCCAGGGAAGGGGTGACTTTGGCCCCACGCAGGCCCGTGTGTGGTGATGCTGTGACGAGCACCTGTCGCTGCGGCCTGCCAGCGCCTGCTGCAGGTTGCAGAGCCCACTGTGCCCCAGCCGCCCCCAGAGCGCCCCCGCTGCCCCCACCCGCCCTCCCAGGCCCCCACGCCGTGGAAGCAGCCCCTGGTGGCCGTGCATGATGGGAACCGGAGCGAGTCCTAGGACACGTGTGTGAAGGGCCAGAGGTTGTTTTCGTGTTACAATCGTAACACATCCATTCACGGTGTGACTTCGACGGGGGGCGGGGGGGGGGCCTGAGCTCGTCCCCAGTCCCTCACCAGCTTGGGTGCGGCTTTAGAATCAAGTGAACCGGTGGCTGCTGTATCTCGTGTTGTCTCCAGCACGTGCCGCCCCCGCTTCACTGACGTCGGAGATGGCCGCCGAGCACGGGCTCCTGCCCTGAGCGCACGGAGGTGGATCAGTGGATGGTGGTGGATGGTGGTGATGGCCGAGAAGTGGGCCAGAGCGCGCTGTGCCAGCCCCTCTTCCCGCAGCCGTGGCTCCTCCCTGGAGTCAGGGCTGTTCGCGGGAGGCCCGTCTTCCTCCAGGGGAGTGGATAGAAGGATGAAGTACGTGGACCTGGAGACAAGGCACCAGTACTTCTCCACGTCCACAGCCACCCTTACAACATCGGGAGAGCTGGGTCCAGGCCCCGTTGCCACGTGCTGGCCGGGTGCCGCCGGAGCCATGCCCGCCACTTGTGCGTTCCTGTCTGTGACGTGAGGACTGGGAGGATGCTTGAGGCCACCCTTTTGGGTGTAAAGTTAGGACTCTTGGAAAGAATTATAATCATTCAAGAAGAGTTTCCATGACGACCTCACAGCTGCGCGGGCGGTGGTTCAAGGTGACGGTCTCACTGGACGTGCCGGCGCTTGGGCGTCAGCGAGCTCCTGGGGCAAGGAATCCTGGACATAGGACGGGCGTTAGGCTCAGCTTTGCTTTGGTGATTCGGTCACAGTCGGACGGTCAGGCCGGGCTGTGGGGCCTGGCAGGGACTCCCCCCGTCCCCACTCCCACTGCGTCCCTTAGGGCTGCAGCAAGGCCACCAGAAAGCTGCATGATGCTTGGGCCCTGGCGCGCCTGAAGCATGGGATCCCTGTAGGTGCCCCTGTAGGTGCCCTTCCTTGCTTAGCGTGTCACCCAGGGTGTGGGGAGGAGGACATGAGGTTACCCCGGCCGTGCAGACCGCAGCCTTCCCGTGCTGCGCAGGGGCCCGCTGACAGCACTGTCCTCTGTAGGCTCCCGTCCACTTACAGAAGGGAAACAGAGGCAGCCAGAAGTGGGCCAGGGTGGGGCTGACCCTGGGCGTCAGACCCCTGTGACCCCAGGGACGAAGCCCCTTTCTCAGCCAGACTCCTCTTCCCACAGAAGCTGATGTCACGTCCCCGTGATGTCCCAGAGATGGGGGCAGTGGGGCGGCCACGAGAGCTAGACTTGGAGCATCCAACGTCTGGGGTGTCCTCCCAGGGGGCACCGGCAGGGCCATGCCGGGAACACGTCCCCCTTACACTCCGTCTAAAGTGCCCTTGCCTGCCGACTGTTGGCGTCCCACGTGGTGCCTTGGGCCTCCTGGTGATGCTCATGCAGAGCGCGGGGGCGGGGGGGGGGCGCCCGGCTCACCCCCAGGTCCATGTCTGCCCTCCTAACGGTGCCTGGGACACAGGGCTACACCGCGCCGAGCCCTCGTGGGTGCCGTCCTGCTGGAGTCGGGGAAGGGGATTCAGTGCCTGTCGCTGATGGAGCGTGGGGGCTTGTGTCTTCCAGGCCTTCACCACCTTCCTGTGTCTGTACGGCATGGTGTGGTACGCAGAGCACTACGGCCACCGGGAGAAGGTAGGGGCGGGGGCAGACAGGGCCACGTCCTGCTGGCAGCTTTGGGGGGGCCCCTGGAGCGCCGTGGCCACCCCAGACTCGCCCCGCAGGTGCCCCCTCGGAGCCCCGAGCTCCACCCTCCTTTGGAAGAGGTTCGAAACCCAATTGTGTGTCTGTTTACAAGTGAAACTGCCTGGAGAGCCCCGGGCCGGGTTCACGAGGCTGGGCCTCGCTGCCCCCTGAGTCCACCTGGGCCCTCGTGGGACGTGCAGGGGTGGATGGGAGCGGGCTGGCCACGCTGCCTTCGTGGTTGCCACACAGCATCATGGCTAGGTGACCACGGCCCTCGTGCTGACTCACCCCACGCCCGGGGGCTGGTGGCCCCTTCTAGAACACGAGTCCCATCCCCAGGAGACCCCGTGGGCTTGTAGCAAGGAGGCTGGGTCCCATGTGGCGGATGCGGGCGATGCAGCCTCAGCTGCTGGGCAGCCACCCAGTGGCTGGCACCTGTCCTGACCTGTGCCTCTGTCTTCCTTAGACGTACTCAGAATGCGACGATGGCACCTACGGCCCGGAAATCTCCTGGTCTCATGCAAAAGGTTCAAAAGGTATGTCCTTCTCAGCCCATGTTGAGCCCCCTGCTGAGCCCTGCTCGTCTCGAGGCCCAGTGCGGAGATCCGGATCCGGGTCCATCCCCTGGTGTTGGCAGGCATTCTCCCGAGGCCCCAGACTGCCCGTCACGCGTCCTCACTACATGCCCCCAGGGCCTGCACAGTTGTGGCCGGACCCCGTGGGAACCTGGCTTCCTGAGGAGAGGCGCCCCGTGGGTCTGCGCCTTGTGACGGGAGGACGTTGGGGGGCCTGGAGCCCGCAGCATGCTGAGGGCCGTCCTGACTTCCAAGGCCCAGGAGCGACGTGCGGAGAGGAGAGCTGCTGGCTGTAGCCGGGGTCTCCACCGGCCTCTGCAGGGCCTTGGGGAGCTGTGGGCCCGGCAGCGTCGGCAGGCAGGCTCGAGCCCGATGCCAGGGAGGTGCCCCTGCGCAGTCGCCCCCCCACGGGCTCTCAGGGCCACTTGGGGGCTGGACCGAGGGGACAGTGGCAGCGCAGGAGGCCGTGAGGCCACGGAGGGGCAGGCCTGCGGGGCGGCTGTCCAGGCTTCCCTGGGCCACGCGATTCACGCTTCTTCCTGCGGGGGCTGCCCTGCGAGACCTGGGCCAGGGGTGGGTGGACACCTGTTTGCGAGCCGGTGCAGGTGGGCGGGGGTCCCACGCAGGGCGGCCCTGGCTCCTGGCCCGCCGAGCCCTGCTCCCCAAGAGGCGGCGACGAGCAGGCAGTGCCACACACGCATCCCCGTGACAGGGAGGCGTAGCAGTTACAGAAATAGCCCTGCAGCTGGTGCCCTGCCCCGGAGACCAGAGCTCGCGCTTCTCTGGGGTTCCCATAGCCGCAGCCCTGGGGTGGGCCCAGGCCTGAGCCCCGGACCTGAGCCCTGGTGCAGAGAACCCTGTCCGCAGACCCACTCGCGTCCCCGGCCCCCCGCGCGCTCCCCCACCCCCTGTCCTGGGAGGCCTGTCCTGCGAGCTCTCGGCCCACCGCAGTGTGACCGGCGATGCCCCGGGGACTGAGCATCCTAGAGGGTGGCATCCCCCGTGGGAGGCTCCAGGGCTGCCCTGAGCAGTAAGAGGCCCACTTTTCAAAGTGTGCTCTGGACCCCGATAGAGGGCAGGAGATCTTTAGTCCTGTGAAGTCCAGAACCTTCCAGTGTAGGGAGGTAGAGACCCTGGGGCTTGCAGGTCAAGGCGGGACCTCAGGTGATGCCTCCTTGGTTGGGAGAGACCCTTAGACGCCCAGCGGCTTCATCATTCTGCCTCGTGCTAGGATTTGATCTGTGTTCCCCCCACCCCCCATCCCCGCCCCAGCACGGGGAGCATAAGGCCTCCCACCCCCACCCGGTGCAAGTTCTTCAGGACGCCCCCTCCCCTCGCCCTTCCCAGGGTGAGCGGCTGCCTGCCGTGCTTGCCTGCGAGGTTTGCAGCCAGCCCTGGTGCCTCCACCAGCCGCTACGAGCCACTAGATGGAGTGCAAGGATCAGCGGCGGGCGGCCTGGGCGGAGAGCGGCCATCTGAGGCCCAGCCCACAGGCCCCGCAGCCCTGACGGCGTGTTCTCCTTCCTTCCTCCGCCAGGTTCTGAAGACAGCCCACCCAAGCACCCAGGCAACCACGAGAGCCACTCTTCCAGAAGAAGGAATCGGCATTCCAAGTCGAAAGTCACCAACGGACTTGGAAAGAAGTGAAGGAGCCTGGTTCACGCGGACGTCCCAGAGAGTGCCTAGAACTGGGAGGGTGGACAGATGGTGTGGCCCTCCCTGTGCCGAGGGCAAACAGGTGGTGCCATCCGGACGAGCACAGGGGCCTGGGGTCATCACTGGACAGCGTGAGTCTTGTTTCCCGTAGACCCAGTCACGCCCGGCAGGTCCTCGCCTGGGATCCTTTGCCAATGCGGGGTCTCGTCCAGCTTCGGCACTTGGCATGCGGTCCCTGGTAGGGGCGCAGAGCTCCGCGGGAAGGGACGGCCCTGGTGCCCGGCCGTCCGGGCCGCAGCGTGCGTGGGTGTCCTGTGGTTGCGGGTTGTCGACAGACCTTCCTTCCAATGTTCAAGCTGGTGACGGGTTTTTGTTGTTAGGGACCTGCCTCTCCCATCCCACGGATTGGTTTCGGGTCAGGCTGCTGTTCTGTCTTGTGTTATCGTCGTGCTTCTTTGGTTTTAAGTGAGAGGCCACTGCTGAAGCTGCACTGGGGAGGGCGCGCCCCTCGCCTGCAGATGAGACGGGGAGAGTGTGTTCCCTCCAGCACATGCCCCCCTCCTTAGGACGCGGTGGGTGGAAACCCATGTGAGGACAAGTCAGCCACCCACCCAGGACCCCAGGCTTCAGATCAGAACCTTTCTCGTCCGTTCCAAATGTCATTTGTCCCGACGTGTCCACAGTGCGCAGAAGTGAACCTGCTGCAGAGGCAGCGCCCGCCATGGCTCCTCTCCCAGCCAGGTGCCTTTGACATTCTGTTTTCCTTCCTGGTGTGTGGCTGACATTGTCCTTTAGTCCCATGTCAGGTGCTGGTGAGTATTACCTTTCACGTGTGCCATGCTCTAGAACCCTTGCCCTGGTAGTTCACCACCTCGGATGGATTCCTGTTTTAAATAAAATAACTCACGTTAAAGTCCGTCAAAGATGAGTCTCTGCGGAATGCTCATTTCTTTGCATCTTACTGGTACTTTCCACCACCTGTCAGCAGTCCCTGTCCTGTTCAGGTGACCTCAGGGTAATCCGCATGCCTGCGTGCTTTATGAGGCTTTATGAGGCGAGAAGGAGGGAGGCAGGTATTTCAGGGGGCTCACGGATGTGTGTCCTATTTCCTCAGCTCCCCAAGTGACTAGTAGGAGGCGAACAAGATCGTCATTGTGTTTTCACGTGGCTGCGTGAACCCAGTGGGATTTTCCCCTCCTACAAACGGCCAGTACTCAGCTGATTAGCAGACGGACAGAAACTGGCCGAAAGAAATCCTCTTGTTCCTTCACAGAGCAGAGTTTTCCATGTCTTTCCCCCCAAAACTGTCATGTTTTCCTTTTCCTGCATAGGAATTCCGGGGTAAAGGGGTTAAATGAATCCTGCGGAGCTAGGGTCACACGCTGCACTCCTGGGCCTACTCTGACCTCTGGGTTCAGAGCCTCGTGCAGACTTGCTCCAGCGGCCGGGCGCGTTGCTGCCAGAGGAGCAGAGAGGCAGTTTGTAGGCCCGGGCACAGTGAGAACCTCTGCAAGCAGGTGCACTTGTTTCGTCCCCCGCTGCATTCTGCTTTTCTGTGCACTGAGTCCTGAGTTTGTCAGGGGATCACGTCCATGGTCTACCTCGACGCTCCTTCCTGGGCCTGACCCACACCATCGAGCGTTTCCAAGCTCTTGACCGTGCCTCTGACTCCACTTGTTCCTTGCTGCAAGGCTGGCATAGATGGAGGCCCTGTTGCACACAAGGCGGCCAACTTTCCTGGGGGGCATTCGAAAAGCACCGTGCACAGGAGACTGTTTTTCCTCCATGCCTTTGTGTGACATCCCAGCAAAGTCCCCAGACACTGTCGGTGCCTGCTCTTTGAGTCGGAACTTTCTTTTTTCCCCTCCCAGTAAAAGCTCTCGACACAGTAGTCAGAAAACCAGCACTTTCAGTGACTGGCTGAGCCTCGGCCGCCATTCCTCCTGGAAGCCATACTGTTGGGTTTGCCCTACTTTTCCACCCGTTTCTATGGAAATGGACCTCGCATTGATGGAAATAGACCAGAGGCCTCATTTCATACCAGAAATGATTTGATTGCCAATCATCTCACATTTGCCATTTGCAGACTGCCCTGCTAGCACACACCACTGTTTGGGACATAACGCGCGAGGAATGTTTCATGGGTCTTTCTCTGTAAGTAGCGTGGTACCGAGTGTTGGGCACTTTTCCCTTCTTGTCATTCTTGGTCTTGCCATGGCCTTCCCCGGCTTGCCTTACGTCTGCTTTCACCACTTGCAGAAGCCGTGGCCAAACCGCTCCCACCGCGATGCTAGGACATTTCTTTGACCTGTGAAGCGTGTTGATGATAAAAGACATCCCATAAATGCCAACCTTATTTTCACTAGCACCTCTTTGGTGAGCTTGTGAGTAAAGTTCTCACCCAGGAAAAATAAAATGCTTCACCAAACTCGGCAGGCTCGGCCCTGTTGCTCGGCCCCTCCGAAGCTGCATCCCAAAGTGACCAGTGTTTTTGTCAGGGGTCTCCCTCTGGAAGTGGACACTGGATTGTTTGACGTGTTTCTAAGAGCGCACTTGGTCAGTGCCATACGGGGTGGGAGAGGCTAAATGCCCAGTAGAATGGAAGCACCCATTCACTGTGGAAAACCAGACCTTGCGCACAGGGGGCTTGATTCACGTGCTCCGCACGTCCTGCGGATTCGCTGGGCCTGCCGCGATGCTCGCCAGGTGGACTTCACCTACGGCGTCCTAATTGTCGGGGGCACCAGGGTTCCTAGGCAGACCATCGCAATCCTCAATATACGTCCCACATACAGGATCGAAATCAAGATGCGAGACTTCGGTCCGTCGCTGAGCGTTTCTCCGTAAATGCATGTCTTCCCGTTGTACGTGCATGTGCGCTGGCAAGGCTCATCCTTGAGATTTGGTTCTTCGCCGGGGTCGGCTTGAGTAATGGCTCAGACCAGTGGGCTGCACGGTCGCATTTGCTAGCCCATAACGATTCACTTTTTACGATATTTCTCTAGGTTGCGTTTCATTCTACACCTGATGCTAGGACTATCACGGGTGAAGGTCACCAAAAATGTCAAGTGGAACTTTGGTATCATTTTTGATGCAATAAATAGTTTTTTTTCTTCACTTTCCTATCTTCTGTGAATACAGAGGAATTATTTATTAAGGGCTACCTACGAAGGAGGAAAATGGTTGCAGGTGATTTTTTTATTTATTTATATTTTTGGTTTGTCAGAATGCTGACTCGTAACAATCTCCCTTGTCTCCTGTGTTTACGGAAGGCTGCCTTTAGTCCATTTCAGAAATCCATCGGTGACTTTATCCTGACATCCCTTCCTTGCAGCTCTGTCGGGTAGATTTGGAAGCCGCTTGCTCCGTAAGAAAATATTGGTGGTTATAGTCTCACCCCGTGAAGGGTCTGTAACAGGTCCAAGCAGCTCCAAGGCCTCCCACAGCTAAGCTTGGTTCCTGTGATGCATCCCGGGACTCTGGCTGAGAACTGGCATGTGCATAGAGCCCACCTGGCTGGCCGGAGGGACAGGGAAGGCAGGCTTCCTGCCTCCAGGCTGGCAAAACAGACTCCCAAGTCCCCGCATCCTCGTCCCGCTAAAGCAAGGTGAAGAGTATTGGCAGACCCGTCCCCTTGTCATAAACGCAGCGAGGACAGCAACTTCGTGCGAGAGAACAGCACGTGCCCACGAGTTTAGCCTGCAGGGCTGGTGCAGCCCGCCACCGGCCTCCACAGCCATCCTGGGCGCACGCTCCAGCCGCTGTCCCCGGGAGGTTGATTATTTTTTCTTTGTTACTGGAAGGCTCTGAAGACACATGCAGAGGGCCTGCGAGTGGTGGGCACCGATGGCGCCCCACGGTGTCTGGTGTCTGCCCGGCGTCCCACCCCCGGCCCCTGCGGTCTCCCCAGCGCCCAGATGCCGGTGCTCCTGCTCCTACACAGGCTGTGTCCCGTCCTGGACACTCAGGAACCTGGACGCTCAGGAACAGCGACTTTGCAGTTTTACAAACCACAGGAAGTAAGGTCTGTTTGCCTTTGAAAGACAAGTAGAAGCATCTGAGACTAAAAGGTTGCATTTCCATGTCTGGAGAACACAGGGAAGAGCCTTAATCACGGGGTCAGACCTCAGGCAGGGTTTCTGGCCATCTAGGGGAGAGTCGGGCTGCGAACCCTGACTGCCCCCGCGCCACACACGGGCCGCTTCGGCTGCTGCCATCCACGTGACTGCAGGCGTCCTGGAGCGAGCACGTGTCTCACGGTCGCAGCCCCGGGAAGGAGGATCCCCAGCTCCCTGTCTAGAGTCCTCTCCCTTTTGAAGTGGACGGAACCCGGGCCAGGAGCGGGGCGCAGACTCCATGCGCCACCGCCGACATCCACAGACCGGCTCCCAGAGCACTGAGAACCCTGGGAGACCTCCGGGTGGCCCTGGGGACCCCGTGTCCCCACTGCACCAAACAGCACTCCGCATGTGGGGGCCTTGCACCCGGGTGGCATCTTCCATTCCAGGGGAGGGGGCATCCCTGCCGCCACCACCACCCGCCCCACAGGTCCAGCACTGTGTGTGTGTCATGCGTGTGCTCCGGGTCCCGCGAGTTTGGTGGCTTTACCCGCACTCCCTGGGGTCAAGCTTGGGGAGGGTGAGTCGGCTCACCCCAGGGCCTCAGGCTCTGTCTTCGCCTCTGGGCATCCTGATGCGCAGCTCCAGCGCCCGTGGCCAGACCAGAGCCCCCAGCCTTGCTTCCCGCCCGCGGTGGTGGCGGAGGCTGGGACAGCGAGAAGCCTGCCCACGGCACCCTGCGGGCGGCAACCCGACCCCGTCAGGTGCCCGCCGCCAGCGAGGCCCGAAGCCCCAGGCCTGGCTCGCAGCTGGCTCCTGTGCCCTGGACGGACTGCGCGCCCGAGGAGGGGCCGGCGGCCTCATCAGCCGTTGTTCTGCAGCCCCGGTGAGTCCAGGGTCGGTCCGTGAAGCGGGCCCACGTCCGATTGGGTTCTTTTCCTGATGCTTTGACGCCTCCTGCAAACAGCCAGAAGGCCGTGCCTCAGCCGACGGCAGCTTCCCTCTGCCCTCAGGAATCTGATTTATGGTCTGGGGAGGCCAGAAACCTCTGCTCTTCACTTCTGAAAAACAGCGAAGTATGGGAAAGAATGTAAATTATAAATACCAAATTCCTACGGTCAGCAATAACGGAGTGGCCTGGGTTTTGTTTTGGTTTGTTTTTATGGCTTTTTAAAAAATATGGTATACATATGGCTTTAATTTCTGAGGGCCGGGGCCCCCCTGCCGCCGCCACCATATTGCCGGGGGAGCAGACAGCAGTGAAACTCCCGCTGAGATGTGAACGAGAGACCACTGGCCAGCCGTTGCTCAGAGGGACGGGATCGTAGGTGACGGCCACACGGCCACGGCCGCCCTGCTGACCAGGCCTCCCCACCCACCGAGCCCTGGTGTCTCAGTCAGCCCACGCCGCCCCAGCCTTCGCCCCAGGAGGGGTTCCCTGCCCGCTCCTCGGCTGGCCAGGCTGAGCGCCCCCACGGGGACGGCCTCTGCGCTGCGGCCACAAGCAGGCACAGTGCCCAGCGACGCCATGGGTGTGAGTGTTCCTTCCGGAGGTGGGTCAGCCCCTGCTCAGGTTCCCCGGCCAGGTGGACACGGCCCTGCTCCATGCTGGCAACAGGGAACCAGGCCGTGTGACCTCAGGACGTGGCCTGTGACACTGGGGACGGCCGTGAGGCTGGTCAGCACGTCCCCTGGAGCCGGCGTCGGTGCAGCCCACAGGGATGGTGAGGCTGAGCACACAGCCAGCTGCCGTCCCCCACGGCTCGGGTGCCCCAGCTCTGCGGCCGCCCAGGGGCTGTGTCTCCACGTCTGGTGGGCAGGCCCACGTCAGGGGCAGCGCGGGAGGAGGCGGAGCAGACACCCCA